GTCGAGTCTAAAAATCGTGCAAAAATTAAGGGACGTAGATCTCGACATGCTGATTCGAAAAATGGACCGGAGCAACATTTTCGAAAGAATCGGTACGAAATGCGAATTTTTGAAAATTTCAAAAATTTCCATATTTCATCGGTCGATTCCGGAAAAACGGTTGCAGTCAAAGAAACGAGACCGGAAGTGAGTTCTAGAGCTCGGAATCTACAAGAAAATGTGTTTATTTAAGTTTTGAAAATGTCAAAAATTGGCCGAAATTTGAAAAAGGTGGGGACCATTGAAAAATTTCACATTTAAATAAACATTTTTGTTTTTGTTTTTCTTAATATATTTTTCACCACCAGAAACCTTTGTTTAAAATGGTAAAATTTTGCAGGAAAACATGGATTTTGAAATTAAGCACCACCCTCTGGCTCACGACAAATAAAAAAATCATCACAATTGAGATATGGTGGGTGGGCGGGGCATATGTTTTGTTTTTGTTTGTCTTAATATAAGTATTTTTTTGACTACAGGAAACTTAAAACTTATTTTAAATGCTAAATTTTTACAGGGAAATATGGATTTTGAAATTAAGCTCCGCCCTCTGGCTCAAGACAAATAAAAAAATCATCACAATTGAGATAGGGTGGGTGGGTGGGGCATATATTTTGTTTGTGTTTGTCTTAATATAAGTATTTTTTTGACTACACGGAACTTAAAACTTGTTTAAAATGGTAAATTTTTGCAGGGAAATATGGATATTGAAATTAAGCTTCGCCTTCTGGCTCACGATAAATAATAAAATCATCACAATTGAGATAGGGTGGGTGGGCGGGGCATATATTTTGTTTTTGTTTGTCTTAATATAAGTATTTTTTGACTACTGGAAACTTAAAGCTTGTTTAATATGCTAAATTTTTGCAGGGAAATATGGATTTTGAAATTAAGCTCCGCCCTCTGGCTCACGACAAATAATAAAATCATCACAATTGAGATTGGGTGGGTGGGGCATATGTTTTGTTTTTGATTGTCTTAATATAAGTATTTTGTTTTTACTACAGGAAACTTAAAACTTGTTTAAAATGGTAAATTTTTGCAGGAAAATACGGATTTTGAAATTAAGCTTCGCCCTCTGGCTCACGACAGTTAAAAAAATCATCACAATTGAGTTAGGGTGGGTGGGCGGGGCATATGTTTTGTTTTTTTTGTCTTAATATAAGTATTTTTTTTCACTAGAGGAAACATAAAACTTGCTTAAAATTGTAAATTTTTGCAAGGAAATATGGATATTAAAATTAAGCTTCGCCCTCTGGCTCACGACAAATAAAAAAATCATCACAATTGAGACAGGGTGGGTGGGCGGGGCATATATTTTGTTTTTTTTTTGTCTTAATATAAGTATTTTTTTTCACTACAGGAAACATAAAACTTGTTTAAAATGGTAAATTTTTGCAGGAAAATATGGATTTTGAAATAAAGGTTCGCCCTCTGGTTCACCACAAGTAATAAAATTATCACAATTGAGATAGGGTGGGTGGGCGGGGCACATATTTTGTCTTTGTTTGTCTTAATATAAGTATTTTTTTTACTACAGGAAACTTAAAGATTATTTTAAATTGTAAATTTTTGCGGGGAAATATGGATTTTGAAATTAAGCTCCGCCCACTGGCTCACGACAAGTAATAAAATTATCACAATTGAGATAGGGTGGGTGGGCGGGGCATATATTTTGTCTTTGTTTGTCTTAATATAAGTATTTTTTTGACTACAGGAAACTTAAAACTTGTTTAAAATGGTAAATTTTTGCAGAGAAATATGGATTTTGAAATTAAGCTCCGCCCTCTGGCTCACGACAAATAATAAAATCATCACAATTGAGATAGTGTGGGTGGGCGGGGCATATGTTTTGTTTTTGTTTGTCTTAATATAAGAATTTTTTTTTTACTACAGGAAACTTAAATCTTGTTTAAAATGGTAAATTTTTGCAGGGAAGTATGGATTTTGAAATTAAGCTCCGTCCTCTGGCTCACGACAAATAAAAGAATCACCGCAATTGAGATAGTGTGGGTGGGCGGGGCATATATTTTGTTTTTGTTTGTCTTAATGTAAGTATTTTTTTGACTACAGGAAACTTAAAACTTGTTTAAAATGATAAATTTTTGCAGGGAAATATGGATTTTGAAATTAAGCTCCGCCTTCTGGCTCACGACAAATAAGAAAATCATCACAATTGAGATAGGGTGGGTGGGCGGGGCATATGTCTTGTTTTTGTTTGTCTTAATATAAGTATTTTGTTTTCACTACAGGAAACTTAAAACTTGTTTTAAATGGTACATTTTTGCAGCGAAATATGGATTTTGAAATTGAGGTTCGCCCTCTGGCTCACGTCAAATAAAATAATCATCGCAATTGAGTTTGGGTGGGTGGGTGGGGCATATATTTTGTTTGTAATTGTCTTAATATAAGTATTTTTTTGACTACACGAAACTTAAAACTTGTTTTAAATGGTAAATTTTTGCAGGGAAATATGGATTTTGAAATTAAGGTTCGCCTTCTGGTTCACTACAAGTAATAAAATCATCACAATTGAGATAGGGTGGGTGGGCGGGGCATATATTTTGTTTTTGTTTGTCTTAATATAAGTATTTTTTGACTACAGGAAACTTAAAACTTGTTTAAAATGGTAAATTTTTGCAGGGAAATATGGATTTTGAAATTAAGCTCCGCCCTCTGGCTCAGGACAAATAATAAAATCATCACAATTGACATAGGGTGGGTGGGCGGGGCATATATTTTGTTTTTGTTTGTCTTAATATAAGAATTTTTTTTTTGAGTACAGGAAACTTAAAACTTGTTTAAAATGGTAAGTTTTTGCAGGAAAATACGGATTTTGAAATTAAGCTTCGCCCTCTGGCTCACGACAGTTAAAAAAATCATCACAATTGAGTTAGGGTGGGTGGGCGGGGCATATGTTTTGTTTTTTTTGTCTTAATATAAGTATTTTTTTTCACTACAGGAAACATAAAACTTGTTTAAAATGGTAAATTTTTGCAGGGAAATATGGATTTTGAAATTAAGCTCCGCCCTCTGGCTCACAACAAATAATAAAATCATTACAACTGAGATAGGGTGGGTGGGCGGGGCATATGTTTTGTTTTTGTTTGTCTTAATATAAGCAGTTTCTTCACTACAAGAAACTTAAAACAAGTTTAAAATGGTAAATTTTGCAGGGAAATATGGAATTTGCAATTATGCTAAAAGTTTCCTCAATTTTAAAATCATACAATGTATGGAAAATAAATAACTACGTTTCTAAAAGATAAAAATAATTGCACTTTTCCGAAAAAAGTTCCAGTAGTACTGCGATTTGTTAGTATCAAACACGATTAAATAATTAATTCTTAGTTAAACAAAAAAAAGCTTGTTAAGTGTGATATTATGTTTGTAAATAAAAGGATCTAAATAATAACCATTTCCCGCAGAAATTCTGAACGTTTAGAGTCGACATTGGCTTGAGCGCGCTCCGGTCTGTGGATCAAACAAGTTCTCAGGCGACGCCTTGGTTCTTTCAAATCATCTGCCCAGTTCAGTCGTAAAATCAATCAGACCTCGAAATATACATGGATTTTGTGATTCTTTACTTTCGTCATGTCCACGTGAAGAAAGTTCGAACACTCCACAAAATTGTATGCACATTATCAATCGGCGTAATATATGGCGATTTTTGTCGACTCTTGCGTCATGTGACCGATAAAATCAAACAATTTCACTCGCGCCGAATGAAAATTATAACACGTAATTGAGTTAGGTGTGCTGTTGGAACAGGACCCGATTCCAGCTGAATACCGCGACCAAACGCACGGTTTCTATAGCAACGGTGTAAATAAAACGTCTAAATCAGCCATGATTTGGTCTCCGCCTCCGCTTTTATCAGCACTTCATCAGCAATAACTAGAGAGCGGATTTTATGAAATTTGCATATCCGTTAGTTTTTGTATATAAGTCTTGATATTTAATATGTGAACGAATCATGCTAATTAAAAACGAATACAGCTATAAAAAAATTGCATATTTGCATATATTTGCCTTCTGCTGCATATTTCACGTAACGGGTGCATATTTTGCATTTTTATCAATTTTTGTGCCAATTTGAAAAAAAAAGATTGTTATTCTATCGGCATGTATCTAGAAAGACGAAATTTCATTAATCATATTGCAAATATTGTCCTGATGTTCAAATAACTAGTAAAGGTTTCGGTTTTATGGTAGTTTGGAGAAACCATTGGGTGTTAAGCCATTCTTCCAGGTAAATTTGGGCCCTAATTACTTTTGGAAGTACCGTTCATTCCCAATATTTTTGTTCGTTACTTAAGTGTATTAATGGTATGTGTTATGTTGGTTGAAGGGACGTTACCCTATTATTTTTCATCGTGAGTTTGCATTGAAAGCATTTAAAGCGATACATGTGTGTTAATGTGTCGAAGATAACTCAAATTAATTTATGGATTAAACCTTTCCTTGAACCTATTCTTCAAGAAGGAACTGTTTTGTCGCATCTGCTCTAAACCGGTAAGGATTTTTATATCTGTGGACATAGTACACAGTTTTTCTATACCAAATATACTTTAGAATCATCGGAAAACTTTTGGTTAGAATAATTCGAAAAATATTTAAAAATAAATTGTTACCAAAATAGTAATTAAATAGTCGATTACTACTAATTTTGTAATTTGTAAATAAATTTAGTTCGGTTATTACGCTTTTTTTAGTTTTTGGAGCATATGCAGCTGCATATCTCTACATATATTAAGAAAGTTACTGCATATTTGCATAAATTTGGTGCATATCATATGATCATATTTCCCAAAATTTTGCTGCATATTTTCCGCTCTCTAGCAATAACATATCATATATCCAAGACACAACATCTTTAGATGTAACTGGTTGTAAGTTTTGATACATTATATACAAGTGGAACGAGATAAAAATAGAAAACTTTATTTTTTTAAGTTCCGCTACTTTTTCTTATGCTGAGCTGCCACTCTTCTTATCATCAGAATACACTGGGCTTGAAACCTCTTGACTGCTTTTTCTTCTTGACCGATCTGAGTATTTCCTGCTTTGTGCAATCTCAATTTCTTCAACCAACGTTTTAGCGGCATTTTTGTCACGGAAGTCACAATAACGATCTATATCCTTTGTATCAATAGTAAGGCCAATTTTTTGAAGTTCATTTATTCTTCCAGCAAGCTCCTTTATTTTTAAAAAGAAAAATAACTTGGGAATGTCTTCTCCACTTGGTGAATTAAATTTCTTGTTCATTCGTTTCTTTAAAAAGCAATTGTCGACGCAAAAATATAAAATATAGATAAATCATCGGGACTCACTTTGAACAGTTGCCACTGTTCTTCGGCAGTTTTTCCCGCTACGATCTCAATTTTGTCAGTTGGATGCCGTCTATAATGAGTTTCTATTTCGTCTTCGGTTAGATCGCTGAACTGAGTAGCCTTAATTCGAAAGTGTGTTGCTTTTTCTTTGTATTTTTTAAGACTCTCTTTAATTATTGTGTACCGTGGAAAGTAAATCTGTTTTCGTAATGTGTCCTCGTCCTTGGTACTATATCTTTTCCTAAATTCTCTCTTCAAAAGTAAAATTACTCAGATAATGTACCTAAGTAATCAGATACCTTAAACATCGTCCACTTTCTTGGAAACATGAGCATGTCTGTGAGAGACAACTGCTGACTCCCACTTCTCTTCGTCCGTAACCACGTCGACATCTGGGGATAGTAGATTAAAATTTTTCTTACAGTTCATTACACCTTAAAATTTTAAACTAATTTGACAAGTACAGGGATTTTGACACAAATCGAACGCAACATGACTTTGACTTGCGTAACAAGTGTCAAAGTACATAACTTTTGGTGCTTCATGGGAGTTTCATAAATAATCCACTTTTTAATAATTTATGAGTCGATTTATTCTCAGGTACATGATTTATTTACAAAACTGGAACGCTGGCCATACTGGCAATACCACAGTTGTTGTTGCGATTACGAGCCATCTTGACGAATCCACCAAGACCCCAGCCATCACCCCACGAGTTCTTAACCAACCAGTAGTCTTGACCATCTTCGTTACCGTAACCCACAATCAGTACAGCGTGGGTGAATTTGTTGGGATCGCAGTCAGGGTTGTAGTAGACACCACCGCTGTAGTAGCCAAAGTCACCATCAGCATCAAAGGCAACTGAGACAGGTCCACTATTGGCGACCATATCAGCCAACATGTTCTCATCAGGTCCGGTCAAATAAGCATAACCCGTAAGTCTTGCAGCCACTTGGTCATCCCTGTAGCGACAATTTCCGTTTGCTGCTTCATAAGGATATGCACCTTCTGAGTCAATGCCTCCGTTTTGGGCGACATAGGTGAAGGCGTCGGTCATCCAACCGCCATCACACCCAGCAGCGGCTTGGACGCAATCGACCAGTTGTTGTTCACTGACGGAGATGTCGAGGTTAGCACCATAGGCGAGTCTTTCTTGGGATTCAATGGCACCTGTCTAGATATAGAAAAGTTTTAATATTTATGCTTAACGAACGATGAAGATGGTACTCACACTAGAGAAAGCCCAACAGGATCCACAACCCCCTTGGTTCTTGACTGGTGTGACAATTCCTTGGTCCCTCCAATCCAAGCTGGCGGGAATTTGAACGTTTTCGTCCATACCGAGATCCTTTCTGGATTTGATTTCATAAAGGGGCTTGGGGAGTACGTCGGGCTTTTTAAGACCATGGGTGTATGGCTTCATTTCTTCTTTGGTCATGTCAGCGAACTCGTTGACACCCAAAGTGTACGTGACGAGCCCTTGTTCAAACTTCGCGTTGTGTTCTTCAAAATGTTGTACATTCTTTTGGAAGATTTGTTTGCGGAAGGCTTCTTCTCTGGCGTTGACGTAGCTTTTGCTGAAGGATGTCTGTAAAAGTATTGTTGTCAGTACAAAGTTGCTATTTTTTTTTCAATTTTACTTACTTTGAAGCTTTCCCATTTTGCTTCAACTTGCTCGCTTGTCAAGGCGGCTGAGGTGCCATAAATGGCTAGGGCTACGAGGAGAAGGACTTTCATTGTCGTTGGTTCACTTGATCGACTCAAATGTGATCTTTACATGGTAGTTAAGTCTTATATATTGCACAAGTGGTGAGGGTGGGGGTTCTCAATTTAATACGCGTTAAAAATGTAAAACATAATAGAAGCTACAGATGAGAGGTTTTTAAATACAAAACGATGACGGTACTTAAGTTTCTTGTTGATCCAACAATGATAATATCAGATTGTGATAACAACAACAATGCCAGATTTTAAAAAAACGTTGTGTCTGTGATGATTAAGTTAAAATTGGTTTGCACGTGACGCGTTTTTGACTTTTGTTACTAACTGAATCTTTTTGTATACATATATGAATGTCGACCTTGTATTTGAAAATAAATCACTAGTGAAATAACGTCACTACATAACAACAAGTACAAATGTTTTAACTGAAATTTATAGAATCACCACTTCTTGTGTGACAAATTTAGAAAAAATGTTGTGAAATTCTGCACGCAAGTTTTACTGAGAACTCTTTGAAAAGTGTGTTTCTGACGAGTAAAATTTTGACTTATTAAAAATCATATTTTCGGGATTTGTATATTTATGTATAAAAAAATCAAAAACAAAAACTCATTTGTGTTTATTTTTTTTATCGCATCACATCGAGATGAAAATCGATATCAATCGACGTGACAATAGATACTTGGTACTCAATGAAAAAATATAGTCATCTGCACCTTTCTAATTCAACTTTGTACCCGAAAAAAATGCGTTTTTCATCTTAAAAATCGCGTCAAAGAAATGTGGTCCAATCAAAAGCAACCGAATCAGCGAAAAGAATGTTTTATTGTTTGTAACCATCGTGATCCATTAGATCCAGTAGGTTGTTAAACTCTGATTTTCTGGACTTTTTAACTACTAACTGACGTCAGCATCCGTTACAGACAACTACGCATTTGACGAAGTGTTTTTATTGTTATGGGACAACTACATATTAAATTACATTAAACTCAACAAAGGTTTTACTTTTAGGTATAACAACAATATGTACTAGTATAGCTACAAATTTTTGAAGATTTGTTTTTGCTAGAATTTTTGCCTTGTCAAATTACCGTCAATTTGAAAATTTGAGTTGAAAATGCAACAATCAACGACAAACTTTAAAAAATTCATGGCTGCCTTTGGTCGTATTTTTACTACTCTCTCGGCATAATGTCTTACTTTTGTTGTTAAAACGCTCATCAAAATTTGTCACCAACAATGAAATGACGTAATCTCCAAATTTTACAATAGTAGATGATGTAATTTAAATTTTATATCCTACGGTTATGGTTTATGAATCCGTGTTGAGTTTTTACCTTAGACGTCAAGATTTTTGGAAAAAAAATCAACATTTTCCAATTTACAGTTATTGGAGGCATGTTAAATCGCTAGTCAAAATTTATCCGTTCATGCCCCCAGGAATTGATGTCATCTTACAATTTTGTCGAATAAATGTTATGTATATGTTAGAAAGTAGCATCATAGTTCTGAACTTGTGGTTGATAAATACGCTATTAAGATTTTTAGGCTTTTCGATTTATCAATTTTTAACTGTAGATGTCTCCATGTTTCAATATTTCAATTTTGGATTTTTTCAGTTTTTCCATTCTTCAAATTTTCGATTTCTCGATTTTTTTATTTTTCGATTTCTTAATTTTGCGATGTTTCAATGATACGATTTTTGTCCTCTTCAATTTTACGATTTTTAAATATTCCGATATTTCAATTTTTCAAATTTTGTCGTTTCTAAATTTTCAGTTTTTCGATTTCTGAAGTAAACCTTTTTTTTATTTTCCCATTTCTCGACTTCTATTTTTCCAATTCTTCAATTTTTCAGGTTTTCTTGACTTTCCAATTTTTCGATTTTTTAAACTTACGATTTTTCCACTTTGCTTTTTTAGTTTTTCGATTTCTTGCTTTTCCAATTTTTAATTTCTCAATTTTGGATATTTCTTTCAGTTTTGGGATTTTTCAATATTTAGATTTTTCGATTTTTCGATTTCTGGACTCCTGGATTTCTTACTTTTGGATTTTCAATTTTTCGATTTTTCAATTTTTCGACGGCTTTATACTTCGATCTCTCAATATTTCCACTTTTCGATGTTTTAATGTCTTAAAATTCTAGGTTTTTCGATTTCTCAAGTTTTCAGTTCTTCTATATTTCAATTTTTTAATTTTCCGAATTTTTCTTTTTTAAAATTTTTCAATTTTTCAGTTTTTTTATTGCTCGATTTATCGAATTCAGATGTTTCCATGTTTTGATTGTTCAATTTCTGGATTTATCAATTTTTCAATTTCTCGATTTATCAATTTTTCAATTTTTATCTCTTCTTCGCGGCTTTCCATTCGTCGATTTCTCGATCGTCTGATTTTTCTCAGTTTTTGATTTTTGTTTTGATTTTTGGATTTCTCGACTTTTCCAATTTTTACTTTTGGGCTTTCCAATTTTCCAATTCTTCGATTTTTCAACTTTGCTTTTTTGGTCTTTAGATTTCTCAATTTTCCAATTTTATAATTTCTCAATTTTTGGATGTCTTTCAGTTTTGGGATTTTCCAGTATTCTGATTCTTGGACTTTTCAATTTTTCGACTTCTGGATTTTTGGTTTTTCTATTTTTACTTATGTTTTCAGTTTTTCATTTTTTAAATTTTCGATTTTCGAATTTTTTTTCTACACTATATTGATTTTTTAGTTTTGCGATATTTTAATTGTTCAATGTTTTAAGATTTAGATTTTTGATTTCTGGATTTTTTGATTTTCAGTTGTTCAGTATTTCTATTTTTCAATTTTTCAAATTTTGATGTTACTAAATTATTAGTTTTCCGATTTCTCAATTAATCTGTTTTTGAATGTTTCTTTTCTCGACTCCTCTCGACTAAATTTCGGTTTTTTAGTTCTTCAATTCTTCGATTATTCGACTTTGCTTTCTTGGTTTTTCGATTTCTCAATTTTCCAGTTTTTTTATTTCTCAATTTTTGGACATTTCTTTCAATTTTGGGATTTTCCAGTATTTTGGTTGTTCGACTTTTCGACTTTTGGATTTTTTGATTTTTTGATTTTTTATTTTTTGGATTATTAAACTTTAGATTTTTCTATTTTTCTACTGTTTTATATTTCGATTTCTCAATTTTTCAACTTTTCGATATTTTAATTTCTCAATTTAAAAACATAGATTTTTCAATTTCTCGAGTTTTCAGTTCTTGTATATTTTAATTTTTCAATTTTCCGAATTTTTAAATTTTCGATTTATCAATTTTTTGAGTTCTCGACTTATCGAGATTCGGATGCTTCGATGTTTTGATTGTTCAGTCTCTCAATTGACCATTGTTTCCATTTTTAACTTTTCCATTTTGGCCTAATTCGGTTTCTCAATTTTTAGATTTTTGGACTTTTCGACTTTTCGACTCCTCGATTTCTCAATCTTTGGATTTTTCGATTTTTTGATGTCTCAGTTTTTAATTTTTCGTTGTTTTCAATTTTCCAATTTCTTAAATTTTCGAGTTTCGTTTTCCCGATTTGTTGATTTCTCAATTTTTTCGATTTTTAAATTTTAGATTTTCCAATTTTAATTTTTTTGATTTTTTGATATTTCGATTTTTTGATTGTTCAATCTATCGATTTATCAATTTTTCCATTTTTAACTTTTCGATTTTTCTATTTGTCCCATTTCAGTTTCTCAATTTTTCGATTTTTCGACTTCTCGACTTTTCGACTCCTCAATTTCGTGATCTTTAGATTTTTCGATTTCTGGATGTCTCAATTCTTGAATTTTTCGATTTTTCTGATACTTCAATTGTTCAATGTTTTAAACTCTAGATTTTTCGATTTCTCGATTTCTCGATTTTTCGATTCTTCAATTCTTCGATTTTTCGATTTTGCTTTTTTGGTTTTTCAATTTCTCAATTTTCCAATTTTTTTATTTCTCAATTTTTGGATATTTTTTTTAGTTTTGGGCTTTTCCAGTATTTTGATTCTTGGACTTTTCCATTTTTCGGCTTCTGGATTTTTTGATTTTTCGATTTTTAATTTTGTGGAATTTTAATTTTTCGTTTTTTAAACTTTAGATTTTCAATTTTTCAACTGTTTTTTATTTCCATTTCTTAATTTTTCAGCTTTTCGATATTTTAATTTTGCAGATTTTAAAATTGTAGACTTTTCAATTTCTCGAGTTTTCAGTTCTATATTTTAATTTTTCAAATTTCCGAATTTCTAAATTTTCGATTTCTGAATTATTCGATATAATACAAATTTTCCAATTTCTCAAATTTTCGAGTTTCCATTTCTCGATTTGTTGATTTTTAAATTTTAAATTTTCGATTTTTAATTTTTTGATTTTTTGTAGTTTGGATTTTTCGATTTTTCAATTTTGCGATGTTTTAATTGTTAAATGCTTTTACATTTTAAATTTTTCGATTTTTTGATTTTTTAGTTTTTCAGTATTTCTATTTTTCAATTTTTCTAATTTTGATGCTGCTAAATTTTCAGTTTTCCGATTTCTCAATTTATCGAAGCTTTGATTTTTCAGTTCTTCAATTCTTCGATTTTTCGATGTTTCCACTTTGCTTATTTGGTTTTTCAATTTCTCAATTTTCCAGTATTTTAATTTTCTCAATTTTTGAAATTTCTTTCAGTTTTGGGATTTTCCGCTATTTTGATTCTTCGACTTCTAGATTTTTGATTTTCCTATATTTTATTTTTTTGGTTTTTCAGTTTTTTTTCGTTTTTTAATCTTTAGATTTTTCAATTTTTCGAGATTTCAGTTCTTCTACACATATTTTAATTGTTCAAATTTCATAATTTTTAAATTTTCGATTTTTGAATTATTCAATTTTCCAATTTTCCAATTTCTTAAATTTTCGAGTTTCCATTTCTCGATTCGTTGATTTTTAAATTTTAGATTTTCGAATTTTAATTTTTTGATTTTTTGTAATTTGGATTTCTCGATTTTTCAATTTTGCGATATTTTAATTATTGTTAAATGTTTTAAATTTAAAATTTTTCGATTTTTCGATTTTTTGATTTTTTTGTTTTTCAGTATTTCTATTTTTCAATTTTTCTAATTTTGATGTTGCTAAATTTTCAGTTTTCCGATTTCTCAATTTATCGAAGCTTTGATTTTTCAGTTCTTCAATTCTTCGATTTTTCGATGTTTCCACTTTGCTTATTTGGTTTTTCAATTTCTCAATTTTCCAGTTTTTTAAGTTCCCAATTTTTGAAATTTCTTTCAGTTTTGGGATTTTCCGCTATTTTGATTCTTCGACTTCTGGATTTTTGATTTTTCCATTTTTTGTTTTTTGGATTTTCAGTTTTTTTTTCGTTTTTTAATCTTTAGATTTTTCAATTTTTCCAGATTTCAGTTGTTCTACACATATTTTAATTTTTCAAATTTCCTAATTTTTAAATTTTCGATTTTTGAATTATCCGATTTTTCAATTTTCCGATTTTTTAAATTTCCGAGTTTCGATTTCTCGATTTGTTGATTTTTCAGTTTTTCGAATTTTAAATTTTAGATTTTGAAAGTTTTATTGTTTTTGATTTTTTGATGTTTCGATTTCCCCATTTTTCAATTTTACCATATTTTAATTTTGCAATGTTTTAAAATATTCTCAGTCCTTCAATATTTTTTAATTTTTCAAATTTTGACATTCCTGAATTTTGCAGTTTCCAACTTTGCTTTTTTGACTTTTCGATATCCCAATTTTTTGATATTTCGTTCAATTTTATTATTTTTCAGTTTTTCGTTTCTTCAATTTTTCTTCTATTTTTCAATTTTTCCATATTTCACTTTTGGGATTTTTTGGTATTTTTACTTTTTGGATTTTCAATTTTTGGTATTTTAAACTTTAGGTTTCTCAATTTTTCGACTGTTTTATACTTCGATTTCTCAATTTTTGAACTTTTCAATTTTTAAAATTCGGTTTTTCGAGTTTTCATTTCTTCTATATTTCAATTTTTCTATTTTCGGAATTTTTAATTTTTTTTTGGATCAAACAAGTTCTTAGGCGACGAAAAGGTCACAAACCGCACTAGTAAAATCTCAGTTAAAATTAACTTGCTTATCAGTATAATTATAAATAAAAAAGAAAATGTGAATTCAACAATTATGGCCTTCAGTTGAAGTGTTTCATTGTTTTTAATTTTTTGCAGTTAAAATTAGATTGACAGTTTTTCTTTAAAAAAGACCTACGTTATTTAAGACGTAACTACTTATCACTAGATTACACTAGAGATAAAGATATAATGATAGTTTTGGATTTATTGTATTCGTGCAAAAAAAAATCAGGAATTTGTGTATTGTTCTAATCTCAACTAGCACTTAAAATAGCAAACTATATTTTGCTATAACACTATATAAATACAAAATAACACACAACTCTAAATTAGTGGATAACGAGCAATAGACGCGATCCCACAGTTGTTCTCCCTATTTCTCCCCATTTTAATATAGCCACCATCTCCAAACCAAATCCCCCAGGAATTTTTAACCAACCAGTAATCTTCCCCATTGTCATTTCCATACCCCACAATGACTGCAGCATGATTGAAAATCTCAGTCGTGTTCATACAGTTTTCTTTGTAATAAACACCATCTTGGTACACTCCACGCCATATCAGTGGTGATAACGACAGTGACAGGTCCAAGAGTACCAACAACACTTTTCAATTATTCTTCATCACCTTCAGTAACGTTGGCATACCCTAAAATTCTAGCACCTACATTTTCTGCACTAAAATTGCAACTTCCAACACTGTAGTAAATATTAGGGTAGGATTCTAGTGTGTCAATTCCATTGTGATTGATGATGTATTGATACGTCTTATCGACTATCTCCCTATCCAGATAGTCATCACAAGCAAAATTTGAGTCTACACAGTCTATTAAATTCTGTTCACTCAAGCTGACATTTCTTTGTTCATGAATAGCCACGTGGGGTTCGATTGCACCAACCTAAAGTAACTAAAAGTGAAAAAATTTGGTCTGTGTTGACAACTTACAACAGCAAAAGCCCAACATGACTGGCAAAGTAGTTGGTCGTAAACTCGAGAAATGACACCAAAGTCGCGCCAGTCAATACTGTCTGGAACATCTTGTGTAAAAGACGGTCCAGATGACCCTATTTTGACACTAGAGTCAAAGTGAGCACTTGGTTTCGAAGAAAATAGTTCTTGCTTGCTCAGGTCTGTAAATCTGTTGACACCAACCGAGAAACTTGAAAGTCCTTGCTCATACTTTTCGTTTTGTGCTTTAATAAGCTTCAAATTTTCTAGAAACACGTTCTGACGAAAGTTTTCTTCGTCTGGGTTTTGGTACACCTTGTGGTAAGTTACCTTAAATCTATTGGTTAGAGAGGGGTTAAAAAAATCGACGCTTACTTTAAAAGAATTCCATTCTTCTACAGCAAATACAGTTTGAACGAAAATCAAAAGACACAGTTTCATTTTTGTCAAGACTCAGACACTCAGAAATATTCTAATTGACATTAATCAACAAGTTGCTAATTCATTGTCAAGTGTACAATGATAACTTATCTCCCTATAGTACTTATTACATTCTACACCAAATTTTGTTCTCCTATTATAGGATAAGTGGCATATGTGGCAATTCCACACAAGTTGCCTCTATTTCTAGCCATCTTGATATACCCATTCTCTGAAAAAGTAGTACCCCATTCATTTCTAACCAACCAGTACTCTTGCCCATCCTCTTCCCCATACCCAATTACAGTGACCGCATGATTGTACGGCTCCTTTATATCAACACAATTTTCTTTATAATACACCCCAGTCCGGTGTACCATGAAAGTCAAATCAACCGATATCATCACGGACACTGGACCAATAGTACCGACGACACGTTTCAGTTCCTCTTCATCACCTTCAGGAACTCTGGCATAATCTGTAATCGTAGCCCCTACATTTTCAGGTTTAAACCGACACTGACTGGTTTCTTCATCGTATGGGTACGATTCCGCGGTGTCAATACCATTATCGACGATATACTGATAAGAGTCTTCCAAGGCCGTTCTTACCATTTCTTGGGTACAATTAAAATCGGGGTAAACGCAATCGATTAGATTCTCTTCACTCAGGGTTTGGTTTTTGCGATTTAGGTGGATACCGACGTGTGCTTCTACCGCAGCTACCTAAAGTAAAACTTTTGTATTTTTTGTTGTTTAGAAATATTGAACTACGTACGACTGCGAAAGCCCAGCATGATAAACAAAAGTCTTGGTCTACGATGGGTGGAATCACGCCATAGTCGCGCCAGTCGATGCTTTCTGGTACTTCGGTGTCTGAAAGAACTACCTTTTTGGTTTTGGTTTTTTGACGATGGGTTGGTCGGGACGCTTTTGCTAATTCGTTGACAGTATGGTCGGCGAATTTGTTTATTGCAACGGTGTATGTGACAAGGCCTTGGGCATATTTTTGGTTGTGGTCTTCAATGGTCTGCATATTTTTGAAAAATATTGATTTGCGGTAACTCTCTTCTGCTTGATCTTGATATATTTTGGCGTAGGTTTTCTAGAAAAATATACTTTGTAACAATAAGGAAAAAAAGTAAAAAATTAACGTACCTTAAATTTCTCCCATTCTTTCTGGTCATATTTAGTACTATAAATAGTTTGGTAGCAGGAAATTAAAAATAAAAGGAACAAGAATGACTTCATTTTGCTAGCTGTTGCTATTAAATGTGATGATTTTCATTAATGTTCATCTCTTTTTTATCTTATCTTAAGTATTAATTCTAGTAGAAGAAATTTAGAAACGTTTTCAGTTAATACAAAAAAATTTTGCATGGTTAGAGTTTTTTCCAAGATCATATTTACAACAAGGCTCAGTACGTCTCCTCGTGATTTGAAAAGTTGATTGAAAAATTTGTATTTTTTAAATTGAAATCGTTGATTTATTTTTACTATTATCTTTTGAAGTACCGGTACTTAGTTAATTTTTGACAAATAGTGTGTTATCTTAATAAGTTTATATTAATGGATAACGAGCAATGGAGGCGATTTCATTGTTGTTGTTGTTTCTGTTGTGATAACAACAGTCACTGGTCCTACAGTATCAACAACGGTCTTCAGCATTTTTTCTCTGCTTCAGTAATGTTAACATAACAAGCAATCGTAGCTCCAACATTACTAGAACTGAAACGACAAGCTCCAACGTTATAAAATCCATATCATAAGCGTAGGATTCAACAGTACAATTGGCCGAAATTTCATTTTTAAAAAAGTTGTCTAAAAATTTCGAAAAAATTCGAGGAAGTGAGTTGCAAAGCTCGAAATCTACAGGAAAATGTGTTTAGTTAAGTTAAGAAAATGTCAAAATTTGGCCGAAATTTGAAGGACGAAAAAGTACGAAAAGGACGAAAAAGGACGAAAAGGACGAAGAAGGACGAAAAGGACGAAAAACGACGTAAAAGGATGAAAAAGAATAATGAGGACGAAAAAGACGAATAGGGCGAAAATGGACGAAAAAAGGACGAAAAGGAGGAAAAAAGACGAAAAGGACGAAAAAGGACCAAAAGGACGAAAAAGGGTTATACGGACATAAAAGGACGAAAAGGATGAAAAAGGACGAAAGAGACGAAAAAGGACCGAAGAGACAAAAAGGACGAAAATGGACGAAAAAGGACGAGAAGGACGAAAAAGGACGATTAGGACGAAAAAGGATAATGAGGACGAAAAAGGATAACGAAGACGAAAAGGAGGAAGAAGGGCGAAGAAGGACGAAAAAGGACGAGAAGGACGAAAAAGGGCGAAAAGGTCGAAAAAGGACGAAAAGGACGAAAAAGGATAATAAGGACCAAAGAGGACGAAAAGGACAAAAAAGAATAGTAAGGACGAAAAAGGACGAAAAGGGACGAAAACGGACGAAAAGGACGAACAAGGACCAAAAAGGATAATGAGGACGAAAAAGACGAAAAGGACGAAAAATGACCAAAAGAACGAAAAGAATGAAAAAGGACGAATAGAACGACAAAGGACGAAAAGAACGAAAAGGAAGAAAAAGGATAACAAGTAGGAAAAAGGACGAAAAACGACGAAAAAAGGATGAAAATGGACGAAAAGGACGAAAAAGTACGAAGAGGACGAAAGAGGACAAAGAAGGACGAAAAGGACGAAAAAGGACGAAGAGGACTAAAAAGGACGAAGAAGGACAAAAAGGACGAAAGGGACGAAAAGGAAGAAAAAGGATAACAAGGACGAAAAAGGACGAAAAGGATGATAAAGGACGTAAAGGACGAAAAACAACGTAAAGGACGAAAAAGGATGAAAAAGGACGAAAAGGACGAAAAAGAATCAAAAGGACGAAAAGAATGAAATAGGACGAAAAAACGAAAAAGGAGGAAAAAGACGAAAAAGGATAATAAGGACGAAAAAAGACGAAAAGGATGATAAAGGACGGAAAGGACGAAAAAGTACGAAAAGGACTACAAAGGACTACAAAGGACAAAAAGAACGAGAAAGGACGAAAAGGACGCGAAAGGACAAAATGGACAAAAAAGGACCAAAAGGACGAAAAGAATGAAAAAGGACGAATAGGACGAAACAGGACGACAAGGACGAAAAAGGACGATTAGAACGAAAAAAGGATAATGAGGACGAAAAGGAGGAAAAAGGACGAAAAGGACGAAAAAGGACGAATAGGACGAAATAGGACGAAAATGACGAAAAAGGACGAAAAAGACGAAAAAGGACCACAAGGACGAGAAAGGACGAAAAAGATAAATAGGATGAAAAAGGACGACAAAGACGAAAAAGGACGAAAAAGACGAAAAACGACGAAAAGGACGAAAAAGGATAATAAGGACGGAAAAGGACGAAAAGGACGAAGAGGACGAAAAAGGGCGAAAAGGTCGAAAAAGGACGAAAAAGATCAGGACAAAAAGAACGAAAAGGACGAAAAATGATAATAAGGACGTAAAAGTACAAAAAGAACAAAGAGAATGAAAAAGGACGAAAAAGGATAATAGGGACGAAAAAGGATGAAAAGGACGAAAAAGGATAATACAGGCGAAAAAGGACGAAAAAGGCTAATGAGGACAAAAAAGACGAAAAGGAAGAAAAAAAATAACAAGGACGAAAAGGACGAAAAGCAAGAAAAAGGATAACAAGGACGAAAAAAGAATGAAAAAGAAGAAAAAGGATAACAAGGACAAAAAAGGACGAAAAGGATGCTAAAGGGTGAAAAGGACGGAAAAGGACGAAAAGGACAAAAAGGACTAAAAGGACGAAAAAGGACTAAAAGCACGAAAAAGGACGAAAAGGACGAATAGGATGAAAAAGGAAGAAAAAGGTCGAAAAGAACGAAAAATGAAGAAAGGGATGAAAAAGGACGAATAGGACGAAAAAGGACGAAAACTGCGAAAATGACGACAAGGACGAAAAAGGACGAAAAGGACGAAAAAGGACGAAAAGGACGAAGGACGAAAAGGACGAAGGACGAAAAGGACGAAGAACGAAAAGGACGAAGGACGAAAAGGACGAAGGACGAAAAGGACGAAGAACGAAAAGGACGAAAGACGAACAGAACGAAAAACGAAAAAGACGAAAAGGTCAAAGAATGAAAAGGACGAAGAACGAAAAGGACGAAGAGCGAAAAGGACGAAGAACGGAGAGCACGAAGTACGAAAAGAATGAAGGACGAAATGGACAAAGAACGAAAGGGACTAAGGACGAAAACACGTGGACGAAAGGGACTAAGGACGAAAATGTCGCCAAAATCATCAAATCCTCAGGATACCAAAATCCTCAAATCCTCAGAATTGCAAAATCCTCAAATCTTCAGAACAGTAAAATCCTCAAATACTCAGAACTCAACAATCCCCAAATCCTCAGAAAATCATAATGCCCAAATCCTTAATACACCTTAATCCTTAAGTCCTCAGAACACCATAATCCTTAAAGCATCAAAACAGGACGAAAAGGTAGACGAAATTGAAACATTCAAAAAATTTCACTTGGTTGTCACCGAGCAATAGTTTCGGAAGAATCGGCACGAAGTGCGAATTTTCCAGAATCGACCTTCGAAATATCGAAATTTTTAGAAATTTTCAAAAATTCGCACTTCGTACCGATTCTTTCGAAAATATTACTCGGTGACCATCAATATCCTAGATTTTGGGAATCAGCGTGTCGAGATCTACGTTCCTAAATTTTTTCAGAATTTTCAGACAACTTTTTTAAAAGTGAAATTTTTTCAGTGGTCTTCCCTTCTTCAAATTTCGGCCAATTTTTGACATTTTCGAAACTTAACCAAACACATTTTCTTGTAGATTTAGATAACTGCAACAGTTTTTTCAGAATCGACCGTCGAAAAATCGAAATTTAGAAATATTCTAAAATTCACATTTCATGCCGCTTTTTTCGAAAATGTTGCTTGGTAACCATTAACATGCTATAGTGACGTAGATCTCGATATGCTGATTCCAAAAATATAGCGTGTTGATGGTCACGGAGCAACAATTGCGAAAGAATCATTGCGAAATGCGAATTTTTGAAGATTTCTAAATCTTGTAATCTACAAGTTAAATTTCGAAAATGTCAAAAATTGGCCGAAATTTGAAGAAGTGATCACAAGTAAAATTAGGATCTAGACAATCGATTAGGTTCTGTTGGCTTAAACTGACATTTTGTTGGCGATAGATGTCCATGTGGGCTTCTACCGTACCAACCTCTAAGAAAAAATAACTAATTTTCTATTTCTAAATTTTTAAAGATATTCATTTTTATTCAGATGATCAGAGATTGAAGAGATATATGAGTATTTTAATTATAGGTCACTGGTGTATTGTTGGAAGGAATTTATTACACGTTACAGCTAGTGTGACAGTTGTTATCTTGTCCTGATGATACAGCGATATTTCAAGTTTTGGTAGGTATTTACTGATACGATTTCAAGTACATTTCTTTGTTATAGGTATATAATCAAACTACTTATAGTGTATAAATGGTCATACATTTGAATTTACATAATTGGATAACGTGCAATGGATGCAATTCCACAGTTGTTGTCTCTATTCCTGGCCATTTTAATGTAGCCTTCCTGTCCAAACCAAGTCCCCCAAGAATTCTTAACTAACCAGTAGTCTTCGCCATTTTCGTTCCCATACCCAACAATTACCACAACATGGTTAAAAATTTCACTAGTGTTCATGCAGTCTTCATTATAATAGACACCATCTCGATAACTAGTCCACATGTAATCAGTGGTAATAACAACAGTAACTGGTCCAATAGTACCGACAACGGTTTTTAGTTCATCCTCATCGCCTTCTGTAATGTTAACATAACCTGCAATTGTAGCCCCAACGTTTTTAGAACTGAACCGACAAGTTCCTACAGTGTAAGATTCATACGGGTACGACTCAACGGTATCAATTCCATTGTTATCGATTATGTATTGGTAAGTCTTCTCGACCATGCCTCTATCTAGAGATTGGCCACAGGTGAAGTTGAGGTCTACACAATCTACCAGATTCTGCTGACTCAGACTGACGTTTTGTTGGTGGTAAATTCCCATGTGAGCCTCCACAGTGCCCACCTAAATAAAAAAAATAGAAACATATAAAATATCGAAAAATCTTTGTAACCTACAACTGCAAAGGCCCAGCACGATTCACAAAACATTTGATCTGCAATTGGTGTTATTACTCCATAGTCTCTCCAGTCGATGCTATTGGGTACATCTTCAGTTCTTGAAGTCCTAGAGGATGGCTTTTTCTCGACGGTTTCACTTGCTTGTATACGACTTGGTTTAGTAAGTTCTCCTTTTGTCAAATCAGCAAACTGATTGATTGCCACCGAGAAAGAGGAGAGTCCTTGCTCAAACTTTCTGTTCTGTTCTTCAATTAGCTTCAATCTTTCCAGAAATACTAGTTTGCGGAAATTTTCTTCGCGCGGATTTGCATAGGACTTGTTGTAAGTTTTCTTTAATTTAAAAGATTACAAGATTGCAGATACAGTACTAGGACTTACTTTAAAAGAATCCCAGGCTTCTGAAGCCAGTAAGGACGGGACGAGTATAAGTAGGCACAAAAGAAGCAGTTTCATTTTCTACTAGTAGCCTTACAAAATCAACCAAAAACTGTTAACAGATAATTTTATAATAAGGCGAAATTTTCCTTTTACGCCATGAATATAGATTAGAGATTATAGGTGATTAAATTTGATTAGAGATTGTCAGTGCTCGCATATTGTTGTTAGAAGATTTCAATGTGATAAGACGAAATGTCCCTATTATTATACTTGAGTATTATATTTTACCACTTGAAACCAGTTATTTCATTCTATACAGTAATCTAGGTTTTTGACAACGGATTAAATACATGTGCTAAAATTTTTATTTGCATATTTTACATAATTGGATAGCGTGCAATTGATGCAATTCCACAGTTGTTGTCTCTATTTCTAGCCATTTTAATGTAGCCTTCCTGTCCAAACCAAGTCCCCCAGGAATTCTTAACTAACCAGAAGTCTTCGCCATTTTCATTCCCATACCCGACAACTACCACAACATGGTTAAAAATTTCGGTGGTATTCATACAGTCTTTATTGTAATAAACACCACTTTGATAAGCACCCCACATCATATCAGTCGTGATAACAACCGTGACTGGCCCAATAGTACCGACGACAGTTTTCAGTTCTTCTTCATCACCTTCTGTAACGTTAACATAACCCGCAATTGTAGCTCCAATGTTTTCAGAGCTGAAACGACAAGGTCCTACATTGTAAGATTCATAAGGGTACGATTCAACAGTGTGAATTCCATTGTTATCAGTTATGTATTGGTAAGTCTTATCCACCATCTGTATGTCTAAATACTGGTCGCAGTCAAAGTTGATATCTACACAATCTACCAAATTTTGCTGACTTAGCCGGACGTCTTCTTGTCTGTAAATTCCCACATGAGCCTCCACTGTGCCGACCTAAATAAAAATTAAAAATATGAAATATCGAAAGATCTTTGTACTTACAACTGCAAATGCCCAGCATGATTCACAAAACATTTGATCTACAACTGGCGTTATTACTCCATAGTCTCTCCAGTCGATGCTATCAGGTACATCTTCTCTAGGTTCTGAAGGTCTAAAAGAGGGTCCGACTTTTCCACCTTGTAAACCATCTGGTTTAGTCTTAAAGAGTTCGTCTTTTGTCAAATCAGCAAACTGATTGATTGCCACCGAGAATGAAGAAAGTCCTTTCTCAAACTTCTGGTTCTGTTCTTCAATTATCTTTAATCTCTCGAGAAATATTTGTTTGCGGAAATTGTCTTCTCCAAGGGTTGCATAGGATTTGTTGTAAGTTTTCTTTAATTTAAACTATGAGATATTTGGGTACAAAAGATTTGGACTTACTTTAAAAGAATCCCATACTTCTGAAGCCAGGAAGGTCGGTATAAGTATAAGAAAACACAACAAGAACACTTTCATTTTCGATAAACGTCAGTTCAGTAAACAATAAATACTTTTTCGATATAACTTGTATTAATACAGATCAGAGATTGTAGACGACTGACTTTGATTGAAAGCTGCCAATACTCCCATATTGTTGGCAAAAGAATTCGATTAATATTATAGATTTGAAATATGAATACTTATCTTTAGTTATTTTAGGCTTCCGATAAGACGGAACGTTTCACTATTGGATATTTAAAAGATCAACTACAATACATTTTTATTTTTTTCATTTAATTCATCTACATAATTGGATAACGAGCAATGGACGCAATCCCACAGAGGTTGTCTCTATTCCTAGCCATTCTAATGTAGCCATCCTCCCCAAACCAAGTTCCCCAAGAATTCTTAACAATCCAATAATCTTCGCCGTTTTCATTTCCATACCCCACAACTACCACCACATGGTTAAAAATTTCAGTGGTATTCATACAATCTTCACTGTAATAAATACCGCTTCGATAAAGTTCCCAATCTATATCAGTAGTAATAACAACAGTAACAGGTCCAATAGTACCGACAACAGTTTTTAGTTCTTCTTCATCACCTTCTGTAATGTTACCATAACCTGCAATTGTAGCCCCAACGTTGTCAGAACTGAACCGACACTCTCCTACGACATATTCGTAAAGGTATGAGTCAACAGTATCAATTCCATGGTTATCAATTATGTATTGGTAGGTCTTGTCGACCATGTTTCTGTCTAAATATTGGTCACAATCAAAGTTGGGGTCTACACAGTCTATCAAATTTTGCTGACTCAAGCTGACGTTCTGTTGTCGATAAATTCCCATGTGAGCCTCTACAGTAGCGACCTAAATAAAAATTTGAAAGTTGGATATACAACCAAAAATTAAGCCACTTACAACAGCAAAAGCCCAGCATGACTGACAATAGAACTGATCTGCAACGGGTGTTACTACGCCATAGTCCCTCCAGTCGATGCTGTCGGGGACATCCTCCCTAGGTAAAGGTCTCAATGGTCTAGCAGATGGTTTTTCCTCAACTTCGCTATCTGATTTAGTTTTAAAGACTTCTTCTCTTAACAAGTCAGCAAACCGATTGATTGCCGCCGAGAAAGAAGAAAGTCCTTTCTCAAATTTTCTGTTTTGTTCTTCAACTAGTTTCAACTTTTCCAGAAATATCTGTTTCCGGAAATTTTCTTCCCGGGCGTTTGCATACGATTTGTTATAAGTTTTCTAACATAAACTATTAGATATATGAAGACAAAATGTTTGGACTTACTTTGAAAGCATTCCACTCTTCTGAAGCCAGTAAGGGTGGGACGAGTGTGAGTAAACACAAAAGAAACAGTGTCATTTTTGATACGCGTTAAGTCAGTAATAATAAATGCTTTGTTATATTGATAGTCTTATAAAAGCGACCAAGATTTTATACAGATAATTTATAATTAATTACGTGCTATTAAGGGAGATTAGAGATTGTACTTAGATGATTTACTTTGATTGGAGGCTGTCTGCACTCATTTGTTGCTACAATCAGATGAATATTAGAGATTTCTGAAATAACAATCTACGGTTATTTAAAGCTCTTGATAAGATGAAACGTATTTATTATTACTTAACGACAAAAAATTTTTGCAGGTCATGTATATCAAGGTGTCATTTCCGTTTCATAGCATGACACTACCTATCGTTAAATACTTGAGGCTTCTTTTTGACTGTTCCACTATGTTTACAATATTTGAACCCGTTTTTGGTTACATTTCATTCCTTTCAAACTTCGTCGTTTTTATGTATTGTTTTTTCACACAAGCATTTGAAAACGTCACTCCACTACAAGAGATCATAGAAGAAAAAACAATAAAGTAGTCGATTCGGCCGTTTTCGTTTTATTCTTATTCAATGATGAATATTACATGTTTTAGTTTTAGTTTATATAATTTTGTACCATGTGTTAATTCAAAAAACAGGATAACTAGCATAGCTGGCAATCCCACAATTGTTGTTACGATTCCGTGCCATCTTAATGTAGCCACCCAGCCCCCAATTCGGACCCCATGAATTCTTCACCAACCAATAATCTTGCCCATTTTCGTTACCATATCCAACAATGACAACCGCATGTGTGAAAGTAGTCGTGGTACATGAAGGGTTGTAGTAAACACCACCACTATAACTAGCAAAAGGACCATTAGCATCTATAGCCACAGAAACCGGTCCTTGAGTTACAACCATATCCTTAACCATGTCTTCATTAGGTCCGGTCAAGTAAGCATACCCTCTGATGCTGACTTTCGATCTACCAGAGTTATACCGACAATAGTAATCTAACCCTTGATAGGGATAATCCCGATCGTAGTTAATTCCTCCATTTCTTGCAATATACATATAGGCATCTGCCATCCATCCTCCACCACAACCACCAGCTTCCGGAACACAATCCACCAGTTGCTGTTCGCTCAAAGTAACCGTGGAACCATAACGAATTTTGTAGTGGGATTCGAGTGCACCGGTCTGGAACAAATCTTTAATTTTCTTTGTATGTACTAGTACTAGAAGTACTTACTGTTGAAAACGCCCAGCAGGAACCACAACTTCCTTGGTTTTTGACGGGCGTTACCATGCCACTGTTACGCCAGTCGAAAGACGCCGGTAGCGCTGCTCTTGAGGAAACAGACCCATTAGCTGGAATTCGAATCAGAGGCTCTGGTTCTTCCAAAGGTACTTGCAACCCGTGGGTGTACGCCATCAGTTCTTCTTCTGTGTAATCGGTGAATTGGTTGACGCCCATTTCGTAGGTTTCTAAACCCTTTCTGTACCGTTCGTTGTGATCTTCTATTTCTTGGATCTTCTTATGGAAAATTGTTTTTCTGAAGCGTTCCTCTCGAGCGTTGCCGAAACGTCTTGTGTTTGATTGCTTTAAACATGTTGTTTGTTAATAATTTTTTACTTTTTTGGACACTTACCTTAAACTTGTCCCATTTTTCGTTAACCGCAGTTCTGGGTAAAATGGCTTGGGATGTGTAAAAAATCACTAGTAGAACGATGAGGATCTTCATTTTGGCTGTTGTTGGTGGTTTTTGATACACTCTTCAGAAAATCGTGTCTTTTTATACTGTTTTGCGACAAGGCGTTTGTGATGGTTTTTGTTTGTTTATTTGTCTTTATAACATAATTCCGAGATTTTGGATTAGTGTTATGATGATAGTTTTAATCTCGTTTAAGTAACGGCTTACTATTATTATTTGTGGAATTTAACACTTTCCTAGAAAAGATAATTAATGATGTTATAATATTTGAAAAATGTTTGGAATACGTGAAAAGATAATTTTAGTTTCATACTTCCGCAACATAATAGTTAATTCTTTAATTGTTTCCATTCGTGTGTTTAATTAATTTATTCCTTATTTAATTGTTAAGTTTCTACGAATAATTTAGTGGATATAAAATTACTTTTTAAGTATTTGTGATTGTTTCAATGTACGTAAAAAGTGCGTAACTAAAAAACCCAGTTTTACAGGATATTGAAAATTAACTATTATTAACACAGCAGGAAAATATAGTTTCAAATAAAATCAACAAATAGCTACAGTGTGGCGAAATATTTACTGCAGACAATATATGTAGCTGCAATTAAAATATTCAGTTAACTTTAATTAAGTAATATTTATGCAATAAAAACAACTTCAGTGAACATTTTTACTTTTTCTTTTTTAATATATATATGTATAATTTCCTTTCAACAACACGACACTGAAAAACATGTATCTCATGGTAATTTCTTGCAGACCAGTAAGGATTTTGCAAATAAGCTCCTCACGACGAATAAAAAACTCACTTCGATTTTCTGCACTGTCTTTACAAAAAGAGATTTTCTCATATTTTCTAATTTAAAACCTAGTTACTTACTTGTCATATTTATGATTGTTCGAATTTAAGTGAAAAGCAGTTTTACAGGTATGTCGGCACAATAACACGTTGGTTAACAGAGAAAGATAAGCGGCCTCGTGGTCTAGTGGTAAGGGCACCTGTCCGGCAAGTGGGTGAAGTGTGGTTCACAGAACATTCAAAGTTAACTATTATTTTGTTTCCAGTACAATTTTGGAAAAAAATAAATTTATATTAAAACCACAGCATAATAGGAAAATATAGTTTAAGATAAAAATCCAGAAACAGCTACACTGTGACGAAATATTTGCTATGGACAATATATGTAGCTGCAATTACAATATTTAGTTAACTTAAATTAAATAACTTCAGTAAGCAGGTGGTAACTGTTTTATTATTTTTTGATAGTAATACAATCGTGCAGTAAAGTTTTATCATAAACTTCATAAAAGTCATAAAATTTGTATGAGATTAAATCGGTATTTGGATCATTTTTGTATTACCAGTTCGTTCAAAGAACTCAGAATTGCTGAAACTTGAGAACATAACATAATTCAACGTCGTTTCTATGCAGTAATAAAAGCATATGACAAAATTCAACTGTATTGAAAAAACTAAATAAATAGAAAGTTGGAATACGAAGTGAGATTACTTTTTCTGAACTCTATAGACTTGGAAGGTATGCGTAACTAGCTATTGCGCAATTATTATTTCTATTTCTGGCCATTTTAATATAACCATCTATTCCCCAGTCCGATCCCCACGAATTATTTACCATCCAATAATCATGACCATCACCTTGTGAACCATCTGGTTAGTCTTAAAGATTTCGTCTTTTGTCAAATCAGCAAATTGATTGATTGTCACCGAGAATGAAGAAAGTCCTTTCTCAAACTTCTGGTTCTGTACTTCATCTATCTTCAATCTTTCTAGAAATATTTGTTTGCGGAAATTCTCTTTTCTAAGGGTTGCATAGGATTTGTTGTAAGTTTTCTTTAATTTAAACTATGAGATATTTGGGGACAAAGGATTTGGACTTACTTTAAAAGAATCCCATTCTTCTGAACCTAGTAAGGCCGGTATAAGTATAAGAAAACACAACAAGAACAGTTTCATTTTCTATAAACGTCAGTCGTTCAGTAAATAATAAATGCTTTTTCGATATAACTTGTCGTATTAGTACAGATCAGAGACTGCAGACGACTGACTTTGATTGAAAGCTGCCAATACTCGCATATTGTTGGCAAAAGAATTCGATGAATATTATAGATTTGAAATATCAATACTTATCTTTAGTTATTTTAGGCTTCCGATAAGGCGAAACGTTTCACTATTGGCTATTTAAAACATCAAGTACAATAACTTTTTATTTTTTTAATTAGTAATTCATCTACATAATTGGATAACGAGCAATGGACGCAATCCCACAGAGGTTGTCTCTATTCCTAGCCATTCTAATGTAGCCATCCTCCCCAAACCAAGTTCCCCAAGAATTCTTAACAATCCAATAATCTTGGCCGTTTGCATTTCCATACCCGACAACTACCACCACATGGTTAAAAAGTTCAGTGGTATTCATACAATCTTCACTGTAATAAATACCGCTTTGATAAAGTTCCCAATCTATATCGGTAGTAATAACAACAGTAACTGGTCCAATAGTACCGACAACAGTTTTTAGTTCTTCCTCGTCGCCTTCTGTAATGTTACCATAACCCACAATTGTAGCCCCAACGTTTTCAGAACTGAACCGACATTCTCCTACGACATATTCGTACAGGTATGAGTCAACAGTATCAATTCCATGGTTATCAATTACGTATTGGTAGGTCTTGTCGACCATGTATCTGTCTAAATATTGGTCACAGTCAAAGTTGAGGTCGACACAGTCTATCAAATTTTGCTGACTCAAGCTGACGTTCTGTTGTCGATAAATTCCCATGTGAGCCTCTACAGTAGCGACCTAAATAAAAATTTGAAAGTTGGATATACAACCAAAAATTAAACCACTTACAACAGCAAAAGCCCAGCATGATTGACAATAGAACTGATCTGCAACGGGTGTTACTACGCCATAGTCTCTCCAGTCGATGCTCTCGGGTACATCTTCCCTAGGTAAAGGTCTCAATGGTCTAGCAGATGGTTTTTCCTCAACTTCGCTATCTGATTTAGTTTTAAAAACTTCTTCTCTTGACAACTCAGCAAACCGATTGATTGCTGCCGAGAAAGAAGAAAGTCCTTTTTCAAATTTTCTGTTCTGTCCTTCGACTAGTTTCAACTTTTCCAGAAATATCTGTTTCCGGAAATTTTCTTCCCAGGCGTTTGCATACGATTTGTTGTAAGTTTTCTATCATAAACTATTAGATAAATGAAGACAAAATGTTTGGACTTACTTTGAAAACATTCCACTCTTCTGAAGCCAGTAAGGGTGGGACCACTGTGAGTAGACACAAGAGAAACAGTTTCATTTTCGATAAACGTCAGGTGTTCAGTAATAATAAATGTTTTATTGTATTGATAGTCTTATAAAGCAACAAAGATTTTCTACAGATAATTTATAGTTAATTACGTGCTATTAAAGGAGATCAGAGATTGTACTTAGATGATTTACTTCGATTGGAGGCTGTCTGCACTCATTTGTTGCTACAATCAGATGAATATTAGAGATTTCTGAAATAACAATCTACAGTTATTTAAGGCTCTTGATAAGATGAAACGTACTTATTATTATTTAACGGCAAACATTTTTTGCAGGTCACGTATATTAAGGTGCCATTTCCGTTTCATACCATGACACTACCTATCGTTAAATACTTGAGGCTCCTAACAACACGAAAAACAGATATACCTATTATTATTAACCCTGAGTGTTGTACTTCATCAGTTTAAACTAGTTTCTTTTTGAGTGTTCCACTATGTTTACAATATTTGAACCCTTTTTTGGGTACATTTCATTCCTTTCAAACTTCGTCGTTTTTATGTATCATCAGAGATCATAGAAGATGGGCAAAACAACAAAGTAGTCGATTCGGCCGTTTTTGTTTTATTCTTATTCAATGATTAATAATACATGTTTTAGTTTTAGTTTACATAATTTTGTACCATGTGTTAATTCAAAAAACAGGATAACTAGCATAGCTGGCAATCCCACAATTGTTGTTACGATTCCGTGCCATCTTAATGTAGCCTCCCAGCCCCCAATTAGGACCCCATGAATTCTTCACCAACCAATAATCTTGCCCATTTTCGTTACCATAACCAACAATAACAACCGCGTGTGTGAACGTAGTCGTGGTACATGAAGGGTTGTAGTAAACACCACCACTATAACTAGCAAAAGGACCATTAGCATCTATAGCGACAGAAACCGGTCCTTGAGTTACAACCATATCCTTAACCATGTCTTCATTAGGTCCGGTCAAGTAAGCATACCCTCTGATACTGACTTTCGATCTACCAGAGTTATACCGACAATAGGAATCTAACCCTTGATAGGGATAATCCCGATCGTAGTTAATTCCTCCATTTCTTGCAATATACATGTAAGCATCTGCCATCCATCCTCCACCACAACCACCAGCTTCCGGAACACAATCCACCAGTTGCTGTTCGCTCAAAGTAACCGTAGAACCATACCGAATTTTGTAATGGGATTCGAGTGCACCGGTCTGGAACAAATTTTTAATTTTCTTTGTATGTACTAGTACTAGAAGTACTAACTGTTGAAAACGCCCAGCAGGAACCACAACTTCCTTGGTTTTTGACGGGCGTTACCATGCCACTGTTACGCCAGTCGAAAGACGCCGGTAGCGCTGCTCTTGAGGAAACAGACCCATTAGCTGGAATTCGAATCAGAGGCTCTGGTTCTTCCAAAGGTACCTGCAACCCGTGGGTGTACGCCATCAGTTCTTCTTCTGTGTAATCGGTAAATTGGTTGACGCCCATTTCGTAGGTTTCTAAACCCTTTCTGTACCGTTCGTTGTGATTTTCTATTTCTTGGATCTTCTTATGGAAAATTGTTTTTCTGAAGCGTTCCTCTCGAGCGTTGCCGAAACGTCTTGTGTTGGATTGCTTTAAAAATGTTTTTTGTTAATAATTTTTACTTTTTTGGACACTTACCTTAAACTTGTCCCATTTTTCGTTAACCGCAGATCTGGGTAAAATGGCATGGGATGTGTAGAAAATCACAAGTAGAACTATAAGGATCTTCATTTTGGCTGTTGTTGGTGGTTTTTGATACACTCTTCAGAAAATCGTTTCTTTTTATACTGTTTTGCGACAAGGCATTTGTGATGATTTTTGTTTGTTTATTTGTCTTTATAAAATAATTCCGAGATTTTGGATTAGTGTTATGATGAGAGTTTTAATCTCGTTTAAACGTTTAAACAACGGCATACTATTATTATTTGTGGAATTTAACGCTTTCCTAGAAAAGATAATTAATGATGTTATAACATTTGAAAAATGTTTGGAATACGTGAAAAGATAATTTTAGTTTCGTACTTCCGTAACATAATAGTTAATTCTTTAATTGTTTCCATTCGTGTTTAATTAATTTATTACTTATTTACTTGTTAAGTTTCTACGAAGAATTTTGTGGATCTAAAATTACTTTTTAAATATTTGTGATTGTTTGAATGTACGTAAAAAGGGCGTAACTAAGTAACCTAATTTTACAGGACATTCTAAATTAACTATTATTAACACAGTAGGAAAATATAGTTTAACATAAAAATCAACAAACAGCTACAGTGTGGCGAAATATTTACTACAGGCAATTAAAATATTCAGTTAAATTCAGTGAACATGTGGCAACTGTTTTATTATTTTCTAATAGTAACACAATTGTACAGTAAAATTTTGTCATAAACTTTATAAAAGTCATAAAATTTTTATGCATAGCAGGGATCGTTGAGAAACAGAGATTAAATCGGTTTTTAGATAATTTTTGTATTGCCAGTTCGTTCAAAGAACTCATGCGACCAAAATAAACTGTATTCAAAAAAACTAAACAAATAAAAAGTTGGAATACGAAGTGAGATTATTTTTTCTGAACCCTACAGAATTGGAAGGTATGCGTAACTAGCTATTGCACAATTATTATTTCTGTTTCTGGCCATTTTTATATAACCATTTAGTCCCCAGTCCGATCCCCACGAATTCTTCACTACCCAATAGTCGTGACCATTTTCAGTGCCATATCCAACAACCACGACTCCATGATTTGTGTGTGAAGTAGAACACTTCTCGTTGTAGTAAACTCCACCACTGTAGTACTGAAAATCACGAAGGACATCAATACTAACAGAAACTGGACCATACATGGCCACATAGTATTTAAGAGCTTCTTCATTAGGGCTTACATACATATAATTTTTTATAGTCACTTTTGGTTCACATCGTCTGTACCAACAAATGGAATTTTGAAAAGCGTGATAAGGATAGTGCGAAGCATAATTAACGCCTCCATTTTGAATAATATACTTGTACGCTTTAGTTTTACTACCACCCGAACATCCATGAGACTTTTGGTCACAGTCTACTAGTTGCTGTTCACTTAAAATTGCTGTTGAACCATACTTAATTTTATAGTGAGCTTCTATTGCCCCAATCTGCACAACACCATAGATATAAATAACACAAGAAATTTAGAGATTTCACTTCAATAAACTTACAGCTGCAAAAGCCCAGCAAGAACCACAACTTCCTTGATCCTTCACTGGTGTTATTTTATCCAAGTCTCGCCAGTCCATAGATGACGGTATCATCGTTCTTGGTACAAGCAGACTGGAAAAATTTCCTAAAATGTAGGAACCAGAAGGAAGGTTTTCTGATGACACTTTAGGACCGCCGGTGTAAGCCAGCATTTCCTTTTCTGTAAGAGCAGCAAACCGATTGACGACCATCGCGTACGTTTCTAAACCTTTCTTGTACCTTTCGTTATGTTCTTCGACTTTCTGCAGTGTCTTCTCAAAAAGAGCCTTCCTCATATTTTCTTCTTTTGGAGCGAGGAAGTGCATCTTGTACGATTGCTAAAAAACTTTTTAAATTGAAGCCAAAAATAAAAATAAAAATACCTTGAACGCTGCCCATTTTTTTAATAGTGTGGTCTTGTTAAACTCAGCGCAAGTGGCGAAGATGTGTAGAAACAGTACGAAGAGTACTATGTTGAAATTCATTGTACGGGTTTTGTCAAGACTCTGATACATACGGAGATGCAATACTTATTTTAAGCGATCGTCAACTAGGACATCCGTATTTGTATAAGATAGCTGTATTTTTGTGCAAAAAACAATGTTTAATGTTTAGATTAGAGTATATTGTACTAGTGGATTCCATAACTGGGTCGATTTTTGAATCTTCAGAAGCGGCCAAATGTTACTTAAAATGAAACACTCTTGACGTCTTGACAAATATAGTGCAGGCTTTGATTAAATAAAATAATACATTATGACAAAAAATCTTTATTAAAATACAAACTTTGATACAAATTGGTCTATAGTACCGGAACTAGTGCGCTACTTCACCAACCAATAATCCTGACCATTTTCAGTCCCATCCTCAACGTCAATAGCCACAGAAACTGGACTATGCATTATATTTTGCCTTTTTTTGCTATACGTATTCTTCTTTTCACAACAAGAAATTTTAAACATGCTTAAAGTTGTAAATTTTTGTACAGAAATATAGACTTTGCAATTAAGCTCCACCCCTCGGTCTGACAGCTAATGAAAAATTCGTCACAATCGAGATTGGGGTGGGTGGGTGGGGCTTAATTTTTTACTTTTTCTTTCTTAATATATGTATGTTTAGTTTCCTTTCAACAACAAGGTATGAAAACATGTTTCCCGTGGTAATTTCTTGTAGAGACATCTTTTACAATAAGTTCCGCCTCTCGGCTCGTGACGAATAAAAAAAATCATCACAATTGAGATAGAGAGGCTGGGCGGGGCTTATATCTTGCCGTTTTTTTCTTTATATACGTATTTTTAAAGTACACGTAATACGAAATATAGTTTAAATTACAGAATAATGTGATTGTGTATTCTTTAACTAGGTGGAATGAGTAATTGTCCCTTTTTTTATTTTTTAAGTCTCTTGCAACGACTAAGTATTACTTAAAATTAAATTATCTTAACAAATATAATGCAAATTTTTATTATACAAACTAGAATATAGTTTCAGTTTATCAAATATCGTCACCACAATGAAGTGTTGATGCAATATTTGTCTACCAGTCGATTTAACTGTAGAAAATAAAAAATATGGTTCTTATTTTTAGCATTATTTTTAATTTAGACACAATAGTGAGGTAGTTATTTGATCTAGAATTGAAAGTTTCTGAAAAGTAGTACTAGAACTTCGCATGCCGCAATGTCAAAGGTCAAAGGTGCTCATTCACTTATTAACAGAACATACTAGTGCGATTTAAAAAATAGTTTTAGAAGATCTTTGAACGTGAATTTTTTTTTAATAAATTTTATTTTTGTTTTATCTCAAAATTTCTAGAGTGCTCTATAGTATTGGAACGAATGCGTTACTGGCTATTCCACAATTATTGTCCCTATTTCTCGCCATCTTTGCATAACCATCTGCTCCCCAGCGCGATCCCCATGAATTCTTCACCAACCAATAATCTTCACCATTTTCAGTGCCATATCCAACAACAAGAACGGCATGGTTTAGCAAAAAATTGGAACACTTCTCACTATAGTAAACTCCGTCACTGTAGTAGACAAAGTCCTTCTGAGCGTGAATTTTCACAGAAACTGGACCATATGTTCCCACATAGTGTTGTAACACTTTTTCTTGAGGCCACAAATAACCATAATTTCTAATAGTCACTTTTGGTTTTCGCCCACTGTATCGACAACGACTATCAATAGCTTGATAAGGGTAGTCACAGCTGTAATTAATGCCTCCAATGTTTTTAATATACTCGTATGCCGTGTCCATATCAGCACCCCAGCATCCATTCCACTCGGGTGCACAATCTACCAGCTGCTGCTCACTCAAACGGACTTTTGAACCATATTTAATTCTATAGTGAGCTTCGATCGCCCCAGTCTGGATAACAACATAAACATAAACACAACAACTGGCGATTTTAATAATAAACTTACAACTGAAAACGCCCATCCAGAGTTGCACTCTCCTTGATATTTTACCGGTGATACTTTATCTAATTCTCGCCAGTCCACAGATGACGGTGCGTTCGCTCTTGGTGCGAGTAGACTGGAAAAATTTACCAAAATGTAGGAACCAGAAGTACGGTTTTTTGGAGACACTTTGGGACCACCGGTGTAATGAAGCATTTCCTCTTCTGTAAAAGCAGCAAACCGATTGACGGCCATCTCGTACGTTTCTAAACCTTTCATGTATCTTTCGTTATGATCTTCGATTTTCTCGACTCTCTTTTCAAAAATAGATTTTCTCAAATTTTCTTCTTTTGGATGGAAGGAGTGCATGTTGTATGTTTGCTAAGGACTTTTTTTAAATTAAAGCCAAAAATAAAAGTCAAAATACCTTGAACGCCGCCCATTTCTTTGTTAGTGTGGTCTGGTTAAGTTCACCGTGGGTTGCAAAGACGTGTAAAAGCAGTACGAAGAGTATGTTGAAGTTCATTGTGCAGGTTTTATTAAGACTATGATGCATAAGGAGATGCAATACTTATTTAAAGCGATTGTCAACTAGGACATCCGTATTTGTATAAGATAGCTGTATTTTTGTGCAAAAAAACAATGTTTAATCTTTAGATTAGAGAATATTGTACTTGTGTATTTTATAACTGAATATAAAATGAACTAACACTTTATGACAAAAAATCTTTATTAAAGTACAAACTTGGATACAAACTGAGATTAATATAAGTGGTCTGTTATTTGTCCTCTATAGTACTGGAACTAGTGCGCTACTGGCTATGCCGCAATTATTGTCCCTATTTCTGGCCATCTTTATATACCCATCTACTCCCCAGTCCGACCCCCACGAATTCTTCACCAACCAATAATCCTGACCATTTTCAGTCCCATACCCAACAACAACAACGGCATGGTTTAACCAATAATCGGAACACCACTCATTGTAGTAAACGCCACCACTATAGTAGACGAAATCATCCTCAACGTCAATAGCCACAGAAACTGGACCATGCGTGGCCACATAGTACTGTAGCACTTGTTCGTACGGCCACAAATAGCTATAATTTTGAATAGCCACTTTTGGCTTAAACTCATCAACGTATTGACAACAATGGTCAATAGCTTGATAAGGATAATCAGAATCATAACTAACGCCTCCGCTGTTTATAATATAGTCGTAAGCTGCATCCAAATAACCACCCCAACATCCATCACACTCTCTTGCACAGTCCAGTAATTGCTGCTCACTTAAACTGACGTTCAAATCGTAACTAATGCTATAGTGAGCTTCGATCGCTCCGATCTGTATGACAAGATAAACATATTAAGTAAATACCAGGAATTAGAAGAGTCGGAAAACTTACGACTGAAAACGCCCAACAAGACCCACATGCCCCTTGATCTTTCACCGGTGTCACTTTACCCAGTTCTCGCCAGTCCACAGACGACGGCAAGCTCACTTTTGCAACTTTGGAAAAATTCGCCAAAATGTAAGACTCAGAAGTAAGGTTTTTTGAAGACAATTTTAGACCACCGGTGTAAGCAAGCAGTTCCTTGTCTGTAAAAGTGGCAAATCGATTGACCGCCATCTGATACGTTTCTAAACCCTTCCTATATCTTTCGTTATGTTCTTCAATTTTCTGCAGTCTCTTTTGGAAAATGGTTCTTCTGATATTTTCCTCTTTCGGATGGAAGGAACGCATTTTATACGATTGCTAAAGAATTGGTTAAAAATTGAAGTTAAATACAAAACTAGAGACAAAGTACCTTAAATGCGGTCCATTTTTGTGTCAGTGTGGTCTGGTTAACTTCAGCAAGAGATGCGAAGATGTGTAGCAAAAGTACCAAGAGTATGTTGAAGTTCATCGTGAAGGTTTTGCTAAAACTTTGCTAGAAGAAAATGTAACTCTTATTTATAGTGATTTTCAACTAGGACATCCGTATTTGTATGAGATAGCTGTTTTTTTTTTTTTGTACAAAAATGTAAGAATTCAAATATTACCTAATTAAGTAATTTAATAATAATTATATAAATAAAACGAATTAGAGCTGGTTGTGACACTAGTTTTACAGGTGGTACTACCGCATGACTGACACATCTCATCTTTTTTTCAAATCACACCTGTCAGGTTATGTTGACACTAATTTAGGACGCTTTTTGTTATGACCAAACATTACCTTATTTTTGCTGCAAGTGAAATAAATTACAATGAAATTATCTTGACAAATATAGTGCAGGCTTTCTTAAATAAACTAGGATATATGTTTCAGGTTATCAGACTCTGTAGTCACTAAAATGAGGCGATGACACAATATTATTTACAAACTAGAGAGAATTCTTCCTTATTTTTATATATTATATATTTGATTGACTGATTTGACATTTAACACATAACAGCAAAATCTTGACAAAAGCTTCTAGAAAACTGGATAACTCGCTTTACTAGCTATACCGCAGTGGTTCCCGCGATTACGAGCGATTTTTATATACCCATCTAACCCCCATTCTGAGCCCCAAGAGTTCTTCAACAACCAAAAATCTTGCCCATTTTCGCTACCATAGCCGACAATAACCCCAGCATGCGAGAACGTATCTCTTGAACAAGTAGGGTTATAGTAGATTCCGTTGGTGTAGTCTGGAAAGTTTCCAGTTCCGTCAATCGCAACAGAAACGGGACCCCTCACAACCAACATCCTCTTCAACATGTCTTCGTCAGGTTGACTCAAATACTCGAATCCCCAGATAACAATTTTTGGTTTAGTAGCATTATAGCGACAAGTTTTCTTCAAGCCTTCGTAAGGATAGTCGTGGTAGTGATTAATACCGTGATTCTTGGCAACATATTTAAAAGCGTCTGACATCCATCCACCACTACAACCTTCAGCTTCTGGGACACAATCTAGCAGTTGTTGTTCGCTCAAAATCACAACTGAATTTTTGTAAATCAGGTAGTGGGATTCGATTGCACCGGTCTGTGTTGGAAGAAAACAATATATGGGTTTCTGGGTGTGTTTAAATTCAACTTACTGTGGAAAAAGCCCAACAAGATCCACAAACACCTTGGTCCTTTACTGGTGTGACCATTCCCTTTGTCCGCCAGTCAAATTCTAGAGGTAGTGCGATGGAGAAATCTATTTGTTGTTTCTTTAGAAAGTTTTCATGCTGCAGTGTTTGATTTTCCATGCTATGTAATTTAATCGAGATTTCTTCTGCCGTGTAGTCACTAAACTGATTTAAACCGATTTCGTACGTTTCTAGACCTCTTCTATATCTGTCGTTATGTTTCTCAATTTTTCGCACCTTTTTTTGGAATATGTGTCTTCTGATGTATTCTTCTTCTTGGTTTGTAAACAGTTTCCCATGTAATTTCTATTAAACAAACGTTGTACCATTACTATGTAGTACCATTAGAGTGGAAGCAAACCTACCTTAAACTCTTCCCACTTCTCTAACATGTTCCTTTGGGACAAAGTCAAATGCAGTGGGAATAATACAAACGTTAGGAAAATTTTGCTTTGGAGTTTTGTCATTTTTGAAAAATTATTTCCTGATGTTTTTCTGCTAAAACTTACCTAAAGCAAATAGCAATCAGAATAACTCATCATTTTTTGTTTTTTTTGGTTGGTAACATGTTACTTCCATCACACTAAATTTTTCAAAGAGTTATGTTTCTGAAACAACAAATGCTATTACTGTTAAGTTAATTAATTTTCATATTGCGGCAGATTATTGTCATCTACTTGTAAAAACGAAATGCAATTAATCAGTTGGAATAAATTCATTTAGATAAAGCTTGTCACATTCGAGGTTTCCTGTTCAACAATTAATGTGTTAAGCTCTCGAATTAGATAACTGCGAAAAATTATCCCTTTGACATATATGGTAAACTAGTTCAAAGAGAGTAGGTACACTTGATATTTAATTAACCGGTTTAAGTAATCTCCTAACAATAATTTCGATATAACCTACTTAAAACCACAATATTTCCCGTTTTTAATTTATTTTATTAGTTTAAAATTACTTCAATGATATTGTGGTGACCGAATTTGAAAATCAAGAAAATCGTTATGCATAGGCAACCATGTGCACGTTCAGTCTTTTTGGGTAGTCGGTAGCTCTCCTAGGGAATTTTCTGTTGAGAGGGTTGGTAGAAGTTGATTTGGTGGCTAGATGCGTCACTGTAAGGAAGCTAGGTTAAGTTTAGTTGGTTTGGTAGTTAATAAAAGGGATTGCAGTACTGCAGAGTTTTCCCCAATACGCGTAGCTAATTCTTGCGCTTTTCCAAGCGGAAATGAGTGAATTTTCAACCGACGCTAAAATGTGGAATAAAATTGTTTCATTGTTTGTAAATTCACAGTTCATGTTAGGATTTTAATCGTTACTGGTTCTAACACAATTTAACAGACATTAGATTCGTTCAGATAGAGCATTGCTAGGAGATTTCATGAAATTCATTTAGTCAGAAATTATTCTTTCTTTGCCAAATTATGAATTAGGTTTCTGGATGCTTATACTTAAGTATTACATTATAACACAAGGTTGCTAATAGTTCATTTACGGCAGTTAAAATAAACCTAACGTTATAATGGGAAAAGGACCGTGAAAGTACGGTAGAATTCATAATATCGTGGACTGAGGTACGGAGACAGTCCACGATATAAACACTCAAAGCTAATTGTTTTAAGGCACTAATCACTTGGATAATGGCATAATTTAACATAACGTAAATTCTTTGTTTTGAATCGTTAATAAAGTGTGGCATAATTTAACGTCGGGTAAATTCTTTGTTCTGGCAAAGACCATGTTGAAAGAGTATGTTTAAACCTAGCAGATGTTTGAATTGCAAAATCTCGTTGAACAAATTAAAAACATGGTGGATCATGTGGAACGTGCATTTTATTCCTTTGAGTTAGACAATTATTAGTTTGCTTTTTTGTTTTATAAATATTTTGTTGATTAATGGTTCCATCATAAAATTGTCTGCTGTCGAATCTTAATCTCAAATAAGAATTCTTTGCTGTTTCAAATTTCACAAGAATGAATGGCGAATTTAAATGTTGTTTATTGCTGTACTTTAACACTTGTACAGTTGTAGTTTAATGTCAGAGTTATAGAAATTGAAAATTCAAATGGAATTGAGGTTAAATAACACAGAAACACATAGCGGAAGCGGAGTGCGCGGTTCCTTGTCGAGCTGGCGGCCGCGCCAACTACACAAAACGGCCTGGGTTGCGCGGCACGTTTCTTCGTGACAGAGGGATGCTGGGCGGCATTGCTTGTCGATAGAATAGAACCACCGTCGCGGTGGAAGAACAGCCACGACCTGGAGCCCCAAACTCCGCTCGTGCTACAACGCCGCTTATTAAAATTTTGTTGTCTTGTTAACTGCCATAATTTAAATTTGCCACACGCTTGTAATAAGTTGTGTATTTGCATCTAGTTACTTTCCTTCAGATTTTTCTTTGTTTTTATTAAATTTGTGATATTCAAAAAACGTTTTTGGAAAGTTTTATAATTAATTTTCAGATTTCGACACGATGCTATCCCCAACTGAATAAAAAGTGCTCTGCTTCATTTTTTAATTTGTTTACCTTCCATTGACGAGGAGTGACGAGTACTATTTCCAGATTTTCTCATTAGCCGGTTTTATTTTCAAAACACTACTGTAAAAATAACTATGTTTTGTCTATCGTTGTTAATAGCGCATGATAAATATGAATGAACGATTCCAGATGTTGTATTTTATTTGAACTTAATAATTACAAGAGTATTGATATTAATTTTGCTGCACAATTTATTTGTTCATACTTTCTAAGTTTATTTCTCTTTTGATTTTAACTTTTTTACTATTATTTATCAAAAAAAAAAAAAAATAGTACAAATGCCTCTATATAATTGTTGGTTTTATTTAAAACGTTTACTGAAGATAATCCCGCACCTGACAGTAGATACGCGTTCCAATTTTAATTAACAATACATAAGGGAATGTTAATTGGCATAATCGAGGTAATCAGCACATATGTTCGTATAGTTTTATTTCGTTTATCGCTCCTAAAATTGTAATTGGTGATGTCATATCTTTGAAATAATCGTGCTTTGGTGCCGAATCTCTTGCGTCAGAACTCTGTAAATATATATTTTCGGATCATTTTTTAAAACTCAAACAACTCATCCCGGGAAATAATTCAAGTTCAAGGTTTTGTTTTATTTACAAAATTATTTTTAACAATGCTAGAGAATCTCGGTTAATCCAGCTGTTTACAAAATTTGACCGAATTTTGTGAATTTTTTCCGGGAATGTTCCTTACGAATATTTCACATTGTTACATTTTTGGCAAAAATTAAGACACTGAGGCGGATTTTGGTATTAATGAAATTAAGCAGAATTAAAGTATTTTATTTTTTAAGTTTCAAGTATTACAACTTTATAAAATAAGACAGATCGTTTTATAGCTTCTAGTTTACATGTATATTAATGTTTATACTGAGTATTGTATCCTATTACCATTGTTGTTTCGATTATTTCTACTATCTAATAAAATATGATTAGGTTATAAGTGGGGATACTTTCGTACAATCGTGGTACTTCTCTCATTTTAACCACCGACCTTACAACTAACTCTGTATTAAACTCTTACAATTATAAAAACCTCTAAATCTATATAAAATTTACGTACATTTAACAGATATGTCTGGTGAGATAACAGTTGCCAAGAGTTGATGTTTAAGTCTTCACAAAAGAAAAGAACCCTCATGCTTTCCCATAATAAATACATCGATTTTTAATAAAAATTGACAATCAAAATTCAAACAATGATATTATCTATATCACATTAATTTTAATTTCTTTGCCAAAAATCACACCTTAATCACTTTCTTGTGTACTGTTATCGGCCACACATGTCGGAATAGCGTTAGACCATTTCCCGTTCTTCAAACACTTCAACATCGCAGCGCCCTTCAGGCCCAGACCCTCATCACACGTGAACGTTATATTCTCCCCAATCTTGTAGTAGAACTTAACCGACGACATTTTACCACTGATTGTGGTTCCAGGGTACGAGCAAGCTTGGACACCTAGAATTAACGCTAAAGTCGTGGGATTAAAACCCATGTCGAGCTCACATTTGGGTAATTTCCCGGACCATCTCGAATTATCTTGACAGGCAATAATCGGCTGTCCTTCCATCATAAAGTCCGGGTTGCAATTAAACTGAACGACGTCTCCTGCCTTGAAGGGACCGCTGCCCTGCATGTAGCCGTTTTCGGGGTTCCCTGGATTGTTGCACTGAACTTCTAAACGAAGGGACTTGCATAATATTGTGTCAAAAAGGGCGACAAGGGGGAACGTACAAGTAAAACAACAAGAAAACAATTTTTTTAACCTTTTTTTTTTCATTTATGTCATTAACATTTGTTGATAATTTGGAATACCTTTTTGAGATTCAATACAACAAGTTTAGTTTCGTAATTTTTTTTTCTTTTAATAAATACTTTATTTCAAACTCGGTTTTTGCTCTCCTTGTACGTTTCCATGAGACACCTACTCCTATTCTGTCTACCGCCAGCCCAACAAACCTTCGCACGTCGGGAACGGTGTGGCCCAATCTCCGTTCGGTTGACACACGGTTTCCTGGGGGCCCCTGAGCCCAAATCCGGGCTCGCAGCTAAAGACAGCGCGGCCCCCAACCTCTCTAGAAACCACCAGAACACGAAGGCGAGGTGGCAATACACCTCCCACCTCCCCGCACTCGATACCTACACATGCAGGGCAAGTAAATAAAAACTCAAAACAAATCAAAAATAGTGCTAGTGCACAAGCTAAGCCAAGTGGTTCTTTGCCAATTCACATGGTTGTCAATTTGGACGTGCTACTAGAACGGTGGGGATGGACGATACTCACTCTCACAGACCGGAAACGGGGCGCTCCAGTTACCGGAAGGAAGGCAGAAGATGTCGGAGGCTCCGATCAAAGCGTTGCCGTTGATGCACGAGAACCTGAGATGGGTGTTCATTTTGGTGTTCTGGGTGTTGACGGTGAGGCCGCGACGCTGGGGCACGATGGGACAGTGCACGGCTAAAGACGGGTCAAAATGGGTTTAAAAATTTTAAAAATAGCTTAATGGTTACCTTTCACTTCTATTTCCACGGAGTGGGTGTGTCGGGCCGGGGTGACGCAAGTGAAGAGTCCGGAGTCGTCTTTAGAAGCGTGGAAAATAGACAGTCTGTATTCGAGTTGGGAGTCACGACCGGGATCTGTGGTCCACCCTTCCGGATATTTTCTATAATCGTGACTAACGGTCCATTTCGGGTTCCCGAATCTCCTAATCCACAAACACTCCATATGCAAGATAGTCCCAGGGTAAACGATCAACTTTCCGTCGTTAGACTGAGCAATAGGACCCAGCTGATGCCTAAACAATATAGTCGGGGGTTTTTCCATAGAGTAGTCGTTCTCTTGGTTTAGGCCAAAACAAGCCGGTTTTGTTCCGTCCCACTCCCCACCCACACATCTCCTCCTATTGGAACCCGTCATGGCATACTTTCCGATATCGACGCATCTGCTCACAATCAAAGCTCCAGAAGGAAATTCTACAACCTCTTCCCGTATTTGCTGGTCGTTGTAGAACGAAATCACGCTAGGTTCTTGGTTTCTGAAGATGCAAGTGTTGTTGTTGTTCATCATCTGGTTGGCTAGTAGTTCTTCTGTATCTGGAATAAAATTCGTCAGTGGGTGAGTGGTGTGGAATGGTGGTTTGTGTACCGCAGTTTAATGATCTTCCGATCCAACTGCCATCCTCGCAGACTATTTTCCATGTGGTTTTTTCGCCCATGATGGTTTCGATGCAGTTAAATGTCACTTCTGTTCCGTCGGGGAAGTTGTTTTCGTCGTCTACTATTGGTTCGCCATTTTTGTACACGAGAGAGCCTTGAACCCTACGAAAACCAACACTTACGTAAGAAAAGGAGGTCGTATTGCCGGAACAAACTATCTACAACTTCAACTAAAGAGTGGAAAAAGATTCTAATTTGTCTCCCGGACATTATTTCTTTCAAATTTTCTTGGAAAAATAGAAAAGAAGCATTAGTAGAGTTAAGAAATTTCTGTTTGCAGCTATAGACGACGAAGATTTTGAATCTAGTTCATAAAAAGAAGAAGGTAGGAAATGTTTCTAAAACTATCTGGAACATCTATGGTCGTTGACACTAGATTCCAAAACACAGAGTAAAAAGAAAAGTTAAAAGTAGAAATGAACAAAATGAAGAATGTTCTTCGAAAATTCGTACTGTTCCCAGAATGTTTTTCAATTTTTAGACAATATTTCTAAAAGTTCAATATTTAATAGGGGTATTTAAAAAAAATTTCGACCTGTTTTCGACCACTTTTGTAAATGAACTCAAGCGATTTTTTTTGTAGATTTCGACCTCCAGAAGCTATTTTTGGCTTTATTTCTGCGAAGTTGGTACCATTTATTCAGAATCGTCCTTTTGGAATATGCCAATTTTTAGAACTTTTAAAATATTTGGATTCCATATCTAATACTTCGAAAATTTTGCTCCGGAACCATAAGAGCACTATATTTTTCAAATGAACACGTCGAAATCTATATCTAAGAATTTTTTGTTGATTTTTAGTCAATTTTTCGAAAATATCAAATTTTCAACACTTCTTCCCCACTTACGAAATTTTCGACCTGTTTTCGACAATTTTCAAAAATTACCTAAAGATTTCTCTTACAGATTTCGACCACCAGAAATTATTTTTGACTTCATTTCTTCGAAAAATTCCAAGAATACTTGTATAAAAAATATGAGAATTCTAAGATGGAAGATAGTTCTAATCTGTCTCCGGGACCTAGTTAGCTAAATATCCAGTTGAAAAAAAAAATTTCACGAGATTATTCAATCAGTTTTTTGAAAATTCCTCAGGAAAAAGAGAAAAAAGCTTTATTAGAATTTAAGAAATTTCTGTTTACAGCTATAAACGACGAAGATTTTGAATCTAGTCAAAGAAAATAAAAAGGTAGGAAATTTTTCTAAAAGTATCTGGAACTTCTATGGCTGTCGACACTAGATTGTAAAACATAATAATGACAGAACAAAAAGAAAAGTTAAAAGCAGAAATGAACAAAATGAATAATATTCTTCGGAAATTCCTACCATTCTCGGAATGTTTTTTCCAAAAGTTCAATTTTTCAATATTTTATAAAATTTTGGACCTGTTTTCGCCCACTTTTGAAAATGACCTCAAGCGACTTTTTTGTAGATTTCGGCCTTCAGAACTTATTTTTGGCTTCATTTCTGCAAAAATTGCTACCATTTATCCTGAAGCGTCCTTTTGAAAGATACCAATTTTTGGAATTTTTACTCCGAAACCATAAGAGCACCATATTTTTCAAATGAACACGTCGAAGTCTATGTCTAAGAATTTTTTGTTGATTTTTGGTCAAATTTTCCAAAAGATCAATTTTTCAACACTTCCTTCCCACTTACAAAATTTTCGACCTATTTTAGACAAATTTCAAAAATTACCCAACGATTTCTTTTACCGATTTCGACCACCAGAAGTTATTTTTGGCTTGATTTCTTCGAAAAATTGCTACCGTTTAACCAGAATGGCCATTTCGAAATATACCAATTTTTCAAATTTTTAAAACATTTGGATTTCATACCGAATATTTCGAGAATCTTGTTCTGGAACCATAAAAACATTATATTTTTCAAATGACTAAGTCGAAATCTATATCAAATTTTTTTGTTGATTTTTGAGAAATTTTTCCAAAAGCTCAGATTTTCAACACTCTCTTCTCACTTACGAAATTTTGGACCAATTTTCGACAAATTTGAAAATTTCTTGTGTCGACTACCAGAAGTTATTTTGGACTTCGTTGCTTCGAAAAATTCCTACCATTTTTACCTAAATGAAAAATATTGGAATTCTAGGATGGAAAATATTTCTAATCTGTCTCCCGGACCTTGTCAATCTCCAGTTGAAAAAACAATTGTCAGGAGATTATTCAATCAGTTTTTTGAAAAGTCCCCCGGAGAAACAGAAAAAGCATTAGAAGAATTTAAGAAATTTCTGTTTGCAGTTATAAATGACAAAAATTTTGAATCTTATACAAGAAGAGAAGGTAGATTTTTTTTAGTATCTGGAATCTCTATGGCCGTCGACTTTAGATTACAAAACATAATAATGACAGAAGATAAGGAAAAGTTGGAAGGAGAAATCAACAAAATAAAGAACATTCTTCGAAAATTCCTACAATTTTTTCAGAATAGTCCAAAAAAAATGGCAATTTTTAGAATTTTTAAAAAATTTGAATTACAAACCGAATATTTTGAAAAACATGATCCGGGTCTACAAACACACTATATTTTTCAAATGAGCACGTCGAGATGTACTCGTATATCCCACAATGTTTTCTGATTTTTAGTTAACATTTCCAAAAGCTCAATTTTTCAATAATTTTACCTTTCCAAAATTTTCAACCAGTTTTCGACCACTTTCGAAAATTATCTCAAGCAACTTTATTTGTAGATTTCGACTTCCAAAAGTTATTTTTGGCTTCATTTCTGCAAAAATTGCTAACATTTGTCCGGAAGTGCCCTTTTGAAATATAGCAATTTTTGGAATTTTTAAAATATTTGGATTTCATACCTAAGATTTCTAAAATTTTGCTCCGAAACCATAAGAGCACTATATTTTTCAAATGAACACGTCGAAGTCTATATCTAAGAATTTGTTGTTGATTTTTAGTCAATTTTTCCAAAAGATCAAATTTTCAACACTTCTTCCCCACTTACAAAATTTTCAACAACTTTCGAAAATTACCTAAAGATGTTTTTATCGATTTCCACCATGAGAAATTATTTTTGACTTCATTTCTTCATTTTTCTAGAATACCCATATGAAAAATATGGGAATTCTAGGATGGAAAATAGTTCTAATCCGTCTCCCGGACCTTATCAGCTGAATTTTCAGTTAAAAAAAATGTCAGGAGATTATTCAATCAGTTTTTTTGAAAATTCTCCCGAAGAAACAGAAAAAGCATTACAAGAATTTAAGAAATTTCTGTTTGCAGCTATAAATGACGAACATTTTGAATCTTGTTCAAGAAGAAAAGGTAGAATTTTTTTTAAATTCTGGAATCTCTATAACCATCGACTCTAGATTCCAAAACATAATAATGACAGAAGATAAGGAAAAGTTGAAAGAAGAAATGAACAAAATGAAGAACATTCTTCAAAAATCCCTACTATTTTTCCAGAACAGTCCAAAAAAAATATTTCAATTTTTCGAATTTTTAAAAAATTTGGATTACAAACCGAACATTTTGAGAAACGTGATCCGGGTCTACAAACACACTATATTTTTCAAATGAGCAGGTCGAGATGTATATCCCACAATATTTTTTGATTTTAGATAACATTTTCAAAACCTCTATTTTTCAATACTTTTACCTTTCCAAAATTTTCAACCAGTTTTCGACCAGTATCGAAAATTATCTCAAGCAACTTTTTTGTAGATTTCGAATTCCAGAAGTTATTTTTGGCCTCATTCCTGCAAAAATTGCTACCATTTATCCAAAAGTGCCCTTTTGAAATATAGCAATTTTTAGAATTTTTAAAACATTTGGATTTCATACCTAATATTTCGAATTTTTGCTCCGAAACCATAAGAGCAACATATTTTTCAAATGAACACGTCGAAGTCTATATCTAAGAATTTTTTGTTGATTTTTAGTCAATTTTTCCAAAAGATCAATTTTTCAACACTTCCTTCCCACTTACAAAATTTTCGGCCTATTTTAGACAAATTTCAAAAATTAGATAACGATTTCTTTTATAAATTTCGACCACCAGAAGTTATTTTTGGCTTGATTTCTTCGAAAAATTGCTACCATTTAACCAGAATCGCCATTTCGAAATATACCAATTTTTCAAATTTTTAAAACATTTTGATTTCATATCGAATATTTCGAAAATCTTGTTCTGGAACCATAAAAACATTATATTTTTCAAATGAACATGTCGAAATCTATATCAGATTTTATTGTTGATTTTTGGGTAATTTTTCCAAAAGCTCAGATTTTCAACACTCTCTGATCACTTACGAGATTTTCGACCTATTTTCGACAAATTTGAAAAATTACCCTAAGATTTCTTTTATAAATGTCGACTACCAGAAGTTATTTTGGACTTCGTTGCTTAGAAAAATTCCTACCATTTTTACCCAAATGAAAAATATTGGAATTCTAGGATGAAAAATATTTCTAATCTGTCTCCCGGACCTTGTTAGCTAAATCTTCAGTTGAAAAAACAATTATCAGGAGATTATTCAATCAGTTTTTTGAAAATTCCCCCGGAGAAACAGAAAAAGCATTAGAAGAATTTAAGAAATTTCTGTTTGCAGTTATAAATGACGAACATTTTGAATCTTGTTCAAGAATTTTTTTGTATCTGGAATCTCTATGGCCGTCGACTTTAGATTACAAAACAAAACATAATAATGACAGAAGATAAAGAAAAGTTGAAAGTAGAAATGAACAAAATGAAAAATATCCTTCGAAAATTCCTACCATTTTTTCAGAATAGTCCAGAAAAATGGCAACTTTTAGTATTTTTAAAAAATTTTAATTGCAAAGCAAATACGTTTAAATCTATATCTAAGAATTTTTTGTTGTTAGTATATTTTTCCAAAGCTCAAATTTTCAACACTCCCTCCCCGTCTACGAAATTTTCGACCTGTTTTCGACAACTTTCAAAAATTAGCCAAAGATATATTTAATGATTTCGACTTCCAGGGCTTATTTTTGACTTCATTTCTTCGAAAAATTCCTACCATTTTTCTAGAATACCTATATGAAAAATATGGGAATTCTAGGATGGAAAATAGTTCTAATCGGTCAAAAAAATCTGTTTGCAGCTATAAACGATGAAGATTTTGAATATAATTCAAGAGAAGAAGAAGAAGAAGAAGGTAGGAAATTTTTGAAAAATAGTCAAATATAAGAAAGAATAAATGATGAACGGTTATTGGTAATCAATATAGACGTTGAAAGACACCAAAACGAAGATAAAGAGAAGAGCAATGCTTCAATGGAAAGGAAGAGTGCTTCTGCAAGACTAAGATTAATTTCATTAAGTTCGTAAAAAAAAGAAGAAAAAGAAGTTAAATCTCTGCTATCTTCTGATGGTCAATTGTTAAAGAGAGAAATCGAAGGCTATAAAAGCCGCACTGAAAATTTAGGAACCAACTTCATCAATTTAAATCAAGCTGATTAGTAGTAATTAAACTCACAACATTTTTGATGTTTTATTCAGAAATAAATGTATATTAGATGCGATTTCGTTCTATTTAAATTAAACATCAACATTACATTAAACTAAATTTTAGACACATCTGTTCGGTATGTGGCTAGTAATTTGCATTATCGATTTATTTTAGATGGAACTAGGTCATATTTTTGCCATTTAATGTTACGCCACGTTGAATTTAAATAAAATATCTATTTATAATCGACTGTTGTGCGCTTGGAAAGTTTAACGGCATTTGATGTTTCATTTTTGTACTCTGTCCGGTAATAAATTAGAATAGTTCAAATTTCACATTCAACAACAGAAACTTACTTGGCTGGAGGACCACAAGCTTTCGACGGAGACCCATACTGTATGACAGTGATATCACCACCTTTGATAATATCGGCACCACCAATAAAATGGGGCGAATCTATAGCCTTAGCGCTTAAATCGACTCCAGCATCCAGCTTACACGAAGGAACTTTAGGAAATAGTTCACCCAAAATGCATTGAATGGGCTGCGCAGTAGATTGACTGTAGTCAGTATCACACTGGAAAGTCACACTAGAACCATTAGCGATAGTTAGACCAGCTCTGTAGCCCATCAGGTACTGCCCATTTGAAATCGATGGTAACTGACAGGGGGAAGCTGCGCACTCTGGAAGACTAGTAACGGTCCATTCACCATGCCAACACCTCAGGTTTCGTGGACCCTGTATATTGTAACCTTCCACACAACTAAACTCCACCACTTGCCCATTATCAATTTCCATGGTTTCATTGAGGGGTTCATCAGGATCTATCGTGGTGTTGACAGACAACAAATCTGCCTTTGAGAGCTTGAAGATCCCGTTTTCCGTTGGAGGAACGAAGCATGGTACTGAAAAAACCCACTAGTAACTCGTAACTCAACTTAATTAAACTTACAGATCGAACAGACGGGTTTCATAGGCCTCCATCGTCCTCTGACACACTTCGCAGTCCGATTTTCTGCCATATTCAACCCATACCCTTTTCCACAAGCCATTTTTACTACAGTCCCTGAACTGAAAGTCACGTTAGCGTCCCTTCCGTGTTTCACTATTTCAATGTTAACGTAAGGTTCGCTGGACAGCGGCTCGCAAGGTCCTCTAACCTTATGTTTGGTCTTTTTAATGGCCATTTCTTCGTGTTTCGTGTCTTCCTCTTCATAATTGAACCTATTTTTGTTACCTCTTCGCAAACTCAGCTGCGAATTGGAGCTTTTGTGCGAAGTTCCGAAAGCCCGACTGCTGCTGCCACCTTTGAGTCCGCGCTTGAACCGTCTCAAAGCTTGTTGGCGGTTAAGCTCCCTCACAACACTTTGGTCCTCTTTCAAATGCGTGTTAATATAATTATGGACGTATCTTTTCTCCCTCTTTCCGTAAATCAGCTTATGATGTCGAATGAAAGCTCGTTTATACTTCTCCATTACTATTGATCGTCTCCGTCTGTTCCATCGCAGCCTCGGATGCTGTCCCAGAAGACATCTAAAAATTGTCTCGTTTAGCGGTTAGCGAGTGGGGCTATTTGTATTACTTGGGTAGTTGAGAGGGGCTCCAATTGCCTCCGACGCAAGTCGCACCAGGCGGACCTTCCGCTAACACGTAGCCTTTGTCACAATCGTACATGATTTGTTTGTTGTTGGTGACTTTTCGAACGTAGGGGCGGTAGTCGTAGAGACCCATATTGCCGACTAATAGAATTTTACCGTTGGAAACTGAGCCTGGATATGGGCAATAAACTGGAAAGTAAATTTATGTTTTTATCAACCACGGGTTACACGGTGGTTATTGGAAATGTATAAAAGTTAATGGCAGGAAAGTTATTGATGCATGCATTTTGTGCTGATAGCGCACGCGAGGGCATAATCAGCAGATAGGGTGAAATGTTTTTGCTTCGACGACAGTTTAAAAAAAAATCGAAATACAACTTGAAACATCAAGACTTTTTCAGCATTAATAAAAGGGTAGCAAAGTTAGTCAAACTAGTTTAACCCTTTTCACACACGTGTCAAAAGCTAAACACCATTTTGTTGCTAAACAAATTCTTTTGTAGTCAGTTTTATAGCGTGATCTACAACAATCAAACAAGCTTGGTGGATGATGGTTACTCTAAATAAAAGAGCAAAACGACCGAGTACCTTCCTCACATTTAGGTATTTCTCCAGTCCAGTTGCCAAAAGAGCACTCTACCAACGGATGACCTTTAATCTGGAATCCGTCTTTGCACTTGAACCTTGCCTTCATGCTGTGGTCCATTTTCGGGGCAATTACCATTCCATTTTTAGGTGGTCTTGGTAGATGCTTGCATCTTTAAAATGTGTACTCGTTATTTTCTTATTTTACTAAATATCAATATTAATTAGATAGGTACCTTGCAGGTTCACACTTCGGAATCTGAGTCCATGTACCATTGTTACAAGAAACTGGTGACATGCTTGCTAGGAATTCGTACTGTTGTTCGCAGTGTACTTCAAGTTCTTCTCCGTGTTGTACTACAGTGGATGTCATCGCTGTATCATTTCTTGACAATAGAATGACTTGTCCTTGACTAACATGTGGTACTACGCAAGGTGCTGTAATAACAACAGAACAGCGTCGTGAAAAGGATAGTAAACCATGAATTACAAGTAATGCATTACTTCAGTTACATTTTTACTTGTAATTTTCTTTTGTTTAACTTTTCTAGTTACAATAAAGTTTTGTTTCGTTAAAAAAATTGACGTCTATGGTGTATTTCGAAAAAATGGACCCTATATACGACGATATGCCCCCGCAGCTACGCTGCACATTTATGTAGAACATACCATGCTTGAGTAATGTAATTCGGAAAAAGGAAAATTTATTATGTCCCTGTTAGTGTCATTTAGCTCAGTTAGTTATTGTACTCAGAAAAAATCGTTTGTCAGACTACTACTACTCTTCTAATTCTTAAGTGGCTAAGTTTGTGAACGACGACAATTAATTTTACAAAAAGTGGAAAAACAGAAATTCTTTAAAATTTGTATACATCTAATATTTAGAATACATTGTAGAACGGATACGGCTCTGTTCAGTTGTAGCCTACTGCTCGAAGGAAGAAATTTATAGTTTTATTAACGAGGGGATTCAAGCTGTCTAACTTTTGGAATTTAATATTTTTCTAGCAGACAAAAAATGTTCTTATTATAATTGATCATTTTATCTTTGATACGTTTTTCATATCTTTCTCCTCTCGTTCTTTCCCATTAACTGTGCCTCCTTTCAATATTTTTTCTATGACAACAAGATTTTTCTATTTTTACAAGTATTTAAACATATTATATTGGTTGATTTTTTAAATTTATGCTCTAGTTGGCCATAACGCTTACGTCGTCTTGAACATTATTAAATAAAAAAAACAGACCGAATTTTTCTGAAATTCGGTAACGTTAACACTGAAAAAAAAAGTTGAAGGTTGTTTTGTTTTTGTATACATTAAAGTAAATATAGATAATACCAGTAATAGTCTAAGAAACTAAATGGCCTCCTTGGCTAAGGCATCCAAATTTTTTTAATGACACTATACCGGGTGTATGGAAAATGGCCGATTAACTCTCCGCTACGCTCTTGACAATTAACTGGTGAGTCTGGGAAAAACAGTAAAAAAATCCTTCCCACTTTTTGCTGGAGTTACAATGATTTTAAAATTCGTGCTTTTGCTACGTTTAACAACTAAACAGCACATAATTTTTAGTTAATATTTCTCTCGCCCATGACCATGTTTAAATACCATTTCAGCTAGAATGTACAAAAATATGGTCGTGTTGTTTCTGTAATAATTTGATAAAATTCGATTTTTGCCTGATATAAAGCGAAGGTACAAATCAGCAAAAATCCAGTATGCAGGTAAAAAGTTTTCAAAACTATATCTTTAAAATGTTTGCAGTTAATTTTAAATCTCCTGGTGTTTTATTTTCGGATAAATTTAAAGGAAACTGGTGTTTTGATTGTGAACAAATCTGTTGAGTTTTTAGTGTTTTATTTTTTACAAAATTGAAAACGTCTTGAGTGCCGCAGTTTTTTTGGAGTTTTAACTCCTTTCTTTTCGTTTTATAGAACACGCATACGGCGCGCGCCGGAAGAGGATGTCGATTTCGACACCAACACCGACACCGACTCCGACACCGGTCTGAACTGAGTCTGAACACAGGCATGTAACACCGCGCTATATTTTTATACAATATTATAATAATAATTAGATATTTCTATATGATGAATAAATAAAAAATGTATATTTTATAATAAACAACAATTGACAATACACTTTAATTAACCCAATCATCATTTTGTCAAAAAATACAAATGCAACATATTTTTGGTTTTTATTATTTTTTAAAAGAAAATTAATGACTTCACCGCGGATACGTGTTTAATTTATATAAACTGACAACGCAGAATTAAAACTCCATCCGTGCGTCCCTGGGTCGACGCACTCTTTTTCTTTTTTTTATATTATTCGGGAGACTCATGGTATATTATTTTGGAAACCCATGAAGATTTTTTTTTAACTATTTAAAACAATTTTGGGGGACTTTGGTGTTGTATTTTTGGAAAATTCTGATCCGACTTCTGCTACCTGTGTTTGAGTTAATTTTGAGACCCCGTTTGTTTTTTGAAAAATTTAAAACAATCTTGAGGTTCTAGGTATTCCTGTTTGCAAAGACTTTGAAAGTGCTTTGGAGCCTCTAGTGTCTTTTTTTTAATAATTTAATTAAATTTCTTAGAGGATACGTCGTTTGCTAAAATCAGTCTTATCTTAGCAGGTACTAGCCCCACCCGCCCGCCTTTTATTTTCATAGAGAATATGTCATTTGCTAAAATCAGTCTTCACAGGTACTAGCCCCACCGACCCGTCCTCTCTTTTCTTAGAGGGTACCTCATTTGCCAAAGTCAGTCTTATCTTACCAGGTACTAGCCCCTAAGTTATAAATGTCTTACTAATTTTTTTTGTTATGGTTATTGTCCTAAAAAAAATAAAAAGTGGATTTCAGTCACCATCGTTACTAAGAAATCAGAAAGTAAACTGAGGTCTTCATATATATATCATCAAGAATTTTTTTATATTTTTAGGACTCCCGAAATCCCCGTACTTAACGTACTGAAGAGTTAATTCGCCCGGTATATATATTTTTGAGATTCTTGTAAATTCATTAATATATGTTACTTTAATCACCCATACAGGACATTGCCTATGATTCGAATGCACTATGTTAAGAAAATACACTTTGCTAACTACGAATGAAAAATTCATGACGATTGATATAGAGACAGATGGGTGGGACTTCTCTTTTTTACTTAACACATTTAGTTTTTTTGTATACCAGTTTTACTTAAGAACATATTTCACGTGGTAATTTCTCGTAGAAAAATACGGATTTTGCAATTCAGCTCCGCCCCTCGGTTTACGTTGAATAAAAAAATCATCCGAATTGAGATAGGGCGGGTGGGCGGGGCTTATATTTTGCCTGTTTCTCTTAATATACATAGCCATCTTGTCACAACAGGAACTTAGAACATGGTTAAAATGATAAAATGGTAACATTTTAGCAAGGAAATATAGATTTCCTAATTATGGGGCGGACCCTAATTGCAAAATCGATATTTCCTTGCACAAATTTACCATTTTAAACATGTTTTAAGTTTTATGTTGTGAAAAGAAGTCTACACATATTAAAACAAAAAGACAAAATGTAGGCCCGCCCACCCGCCCTGTCTCTATTGTGATGATTTTTTTATTCGCCGTGAACCAAGAGGGCGAAGCTTAAGTGCAAAATATTTATTTCTTTACAAGAAATTAAAAACATGATTTTGAGAATCGTGCCAAAATATTGAGCCCGCCAACCCACCCCATCTCAATTGAAATGATTTTTTTATTCTTAGAAACTTAAAATACGTTCAAAATGGTAAATTTTTGTAGGAAATATGGATTAAAACTTCAGTACTATTTAGGATCAGGGCAGGTATGGGTAGGGCTGAATTTTTCGCTTTTATTTTTCCTTAATATACGTAGTCATCTTTCCAGAACAAGATATCTTAAACACGTTTAAAATGGCAAATTCTTGTGCACCTATGATAGGAAACGGATTAAGAGTTGCTCCAAAAATATGAATGCATTTATAAAGGGCAAGACTATGTTTATATTCCTAGTGAATTTTCCATTCGAAAATGTTCCAAACAATATGGTTGTTTCAGCAAGGACATTATGTCAATTCCAACACGTGCAGTGTAATACTAATAATAAAACACTAAGGTGTACGGATCTTGAGATTTGATAAATAAAAAGTATACATAATAGCGGTGACAGTGTAAGAAACAAAAAAACTCGCATGTTACATTCGAACGTGCGCGATTTTTGCGTTACAAGTCCGAAAATGAACGTTTGACGCGCTAAGTTAACGTATAATTTTGTATGAACTCCATTTATTTTAGTACAAAAGGTTGCTACATAATTTCGATTATTTTGTGAAAATTTGGATGGCTCGGAGAAAATCTCAAGGCGGATTCATAAATAACAAATACAGGAATATGTTATTTTATAAAATATAAGTCCTACAAAATTTTGCAAGGGTGACTCAAAAATACGCATGCACAATAATATCAAATGCAATTCAATTACAAAAATGTATTTGTTCTTTATTTCCTCAGTAGTAATTTAAAGTTAATTGTGTTTTATTAATATCATAAAACCTCAATTAAAAACCAGGACAGACGTAAAAGCAAACAACGAGGATAAACCCCTAGGAGTGACGAACGAGTCAGTTTGTGAATTTCCACAATTAAAATTTTCCACAAAAAGTAGAAACTACTGCTACTTCAAACCATTCAGTAAAAGAATTTGTTTAAACACATTAACAAGAAAAGCGAATGAAAAAAGTAACAAAAAATTACTTAAAAAAGGTAAAATACAACCTAAAAAAACTAAACAATACGTAAAAAATATGACCTAAGTGGCAGTTAAATAAAAGAGTGAGGATGGAAGTTGATATAAACACACAAAAATTTGCCAACCATCCAATAAAAGAACGTAAAATGTGTGAATAATAAAATTTTTTCTTCGTCTATTCACGATCTAGTATCAAATTGAATATTATAACTTTGTTTTCCGTTATTATAAGAATTTTGATTAAAAAAATAAAAACTGAGAATTATTGAAACACGATTCTGTTAAATTAATTATTATTAGAGAGCGGATTTCTAGGTTTAATGCTTTTTGTGAAAAATGTAAGCACTTCAAAACTTTTTTATATCTGTAACTATGATACAATTGGAAGTCATTTGACACATTTTTTTTATGCTTATTTGCTTTTTTTTCAATTTTATGCATATTAAAACTTATATGCTTATTTAATGCTTTTTTCGACGAATATGAGTTTTAATGCATATTTTGTTCAAATGCCGGCCTTGTCGGGATGACAAATACTTGTTAGTTAGCCGTATCGTATCGTATGCATTTTACCTGGACTTGACCATTGAAGTACACTTACTCAAGACCCTTTCTGTGAATAGGTTCCGGTCGTTTGGGTAATAAAATTTTATTATAGGATTGGAAAAATACTCCATAGATTTTATGACTTTAAATCCTTACTTCCGTTGATACTGAATTAAAGCTTTTAACCAGATGTTCTTTTTCGGCATTTTGCGGCAAGACCGTTGAAGATTTTCTAGAAAAAAGGATTATTGTACCCAACTACCTATCTTAAAATGTTTATAATGGAAACTTTTAAGTAAATGAACCGTTTATTTCACAACCATCAGTCTATCGCATCTGTCGTAGTACAGTGTTATACGTGGTTCTCCCTTGTTACATGTTGCGTTCTTTTTGGTAATATTACTAATATTTTAAAAGATTGCCGAAAATAAAATCGACGCCGGATGAGTGGATAAGGGATTTTCCAGAATTAAAATTAGAAAACAACAAAATATTTTGCAGAGCTTGTGTGAAAACCGTAAGCCCACTAATTTTTTTTATCTATTTTCCTTTGTTAATCCTGTATATGTACGTTGTTTTAGAATCAAAGTGATAAAAAATATAACGTGAACGCAACATGTCAGAACGACTCTTCATGTAGAAAGGAAGAAAATGTTTGAAGTTTCTAAAATTAAACAGCAGACCATACATGAATCTGTTGCATCTACTTCCACAAAAGATGAGCAGTTTCAGTTTAATTTCGATTTATGTAAAATGATGATCCAGTCCAATATGCCTTTAAAAAAATTGGAGAAAGGCCCTCTTCAAGAATTCCTTGAAAAACACTGCAATCGACATATTCCGGTTGAAAGTACTCTCCGAAAAAATTATGTAGGCCCAGTGTTTCAGCAAGTTTACAACGAAATTAAACATCGCATTGGAGATAATTATTTATGGTTCGCTGTCGATGAAACAACCGATAGTTGTGGAAGATACGTGGCAAGTTTAATTGTTGGAATCTTAAATGAAAATTTCCCTAGTCGAGGGTATGTAGTAAGTTTGAAAATGTTAGATAAAACAAATGGCAATACGATTACCAGATTTGTAAATGACAGTCTTACGTCACTATTTTAGCCAAATGCCGTACCGGCGAATAAAATCTTATTGATCTCGGATGCAGCTCGTTATATGTTGAAAGCAGGGAATAATGTAAAAATATTGTACCCCAATTTAATTCACTCTACTTGCATTGCCCACGGTTTAAACAGAGTGGCTGAAGGAATACGTTTGCAGTTTCCTACTGTTAATAAATTAGTGGCAAATGGTAAAAGATTTTTGTTAAAGTCCCACTAAGAGTGCAACATTTTAAGGAAAAATTTCCAAACATACCATTGCCCCCAGAACCGATTATAACGAGGTGGGGAACATGGTTACAGGCCACATTTTATTATGACAAATATATCAAAGAATTTGAGGAAGTAGTTACGGAGTTTAGCGAAGATTCTTCTCAATCGATTAAAGATTGCATAAATATTATGAAAAACAAAGATTTGCGACAAGATCTAGCTTTTCTAAGAAGCAATTATCAATTCGTATGTGACGTAATAGAAAAGTTAAAAAAACCCAACATGTTGTTGGTAGATGTCATAAACTTAGTGAAAGAATTTAAACAACAAGCAAACGCAATAAGGGGTGATATTGATACTAGAGTATCTCAAAAACTTGACGAAGTGTTAAATAAAAATGCAGGTTTCGGTGTTCTTTCCGACGTTGCTCGTGTTTTACAAGGCCAGAAGGTGGAAAATTTGGAGTTAGATTCAACATTAGTTGCAAAATTCAAATTTGCACCAACAACGAGTGTGGATGTTGAACGCACATTCTCCAATTTTAAACACATTTTAAATGATCGGCGAAAAAATTTTACAGTGGACAACTTGGAACATATTACAATCATAAATTGTTTTAAAGAAAACTGAAATACGTGTGTAAAATATAAAGCCTAGGATTATTGTAATAATATTTTATCCAAAGTTCTAAGAAGTGTTCTTTGATTTGTATTATGATTATGTTTTTAATGCTTTTTTGCGTAAAATAAAACATTTTTATTGAAAATGTTGTGCTTATTTAAGCGCTTATTCTTAATTTTTTTGTGCTTATAAATCCGCTCTCTAGTTATGACATTTACGGGTATTGAATTTGAACTAGTTTCAGATAATTAAATAATAATAATTATGCAAATATCGTAAACTACTGGAAGGTAGTTAGCATTTTGATTAATAAGTCATTATTGACTCAAGCAATGTCCTTATCCTTAAATGTAACTTTCGGTTATTCATGTAAAAAGTATTATTACTTTTAAAACGGTCGTAGAAAAAGTTATTTTTAATCCCATTTGAAAAACTCATTTATCAAACACATTTTTTCATAAATACGAATGCATTACTTGTACACTTCGTGCCCTTCCCGAACATAATCAAGTAAAGTGGCAAACTACCGTCCACAATTACCGCCCCCATAACCCGTTGCCAACCTCTACCAACACTAACATGATCATGATAAAACGAGAAAAACAAGCGTTCCTCCCACTCAACAACTCACCCAAACACTTCGGCAGCGGGTACCTCCACTTGCCGTCGATCTGGCACACCGTCGACGTGTTGCCCACGAGCAACATCCCCTCGTGGCACCGGAAAATGATGGAAGCACCCAACCCGGTGCCCCCTTCAATGTTCTCCAGCCAGCCGTTCCACAGCCGCCCGGGATGTCCACAGTTAATCTCTACTCATGCGCAAAAAAAATTACGTGATGGTCGAATGATGGGCGACCCTGCCATGCACCCTACCTTTGCAAATGGGCTGAGCGCCGGACCACTTCCGGTCGGCGCCGCATCTGCGGGTGCTCTCGCCCATGAGGGTGTAGCCGTACTTGCACTCGTAGCTGACCACCGAGTTGTAGCTGCAGGAAGTGTAGATGGCCTTGCCATGGCGAGGGTTCTCAGGGGGGCTGCACTGAACCGCTGTAACCACATAAGACGAACACCACAAACAAAATAGGATTGGCACTGGACACTGCTGGCAAGAGCAGCTGCGAAGCGAAATGTCGTAGAAGCTTGGTAAAATATATAGAGAACTGGGTTAACTCAACGATGTAGCTGTTTGGTTTTTGGCTTCTATATGGTGGAAGAATGACCTGATGGGTGTCAAAAATGCAGTGAAATTTATGGGTTGAGGTAATTTATTCTTGGTGGTTCTACGTTCTGCTCTAAACTGTACACTGTACAGATTTTGAGGATAATGTTTATCAATAGTTTACGTTCTGAAATATATTTCGACCTATTTTGACGATTGTGATTGACACGACATTCTGACAGTCTTTTATAAGCAAGCAGTAGTCCCGCGCACCCACACCTTCTTCATTTTAGACTACTCTAAATATTGTTCAGTCTTATCTTGGCACGTGATAGCGCCGCCCACCAATCCGCCATTTTTTATTGTTCTAAAGGGTGTTAGTACATATTACAATAATTAGTGCTGATGTAGGTGAATCAGATTAAATAAACTTAAAATTACACTCAAATTACATTAAGTTTTACATACATTAAATAACTAAATTCTCAATGCTAGATTTAAATTGTCTTAAGGACGGACCAAAAATTTCCACATCATGTGCATTAACTTCCCGAGTTAATCTAGCTATTGGAGAAAAAAATCCATAATTCGTGTGATGCAGCTTCGTGTGAAAAGTTGGATTGCTTCTCATCTGTCTTGTGGGGCAGTTTAAACTAAAAAGTGCTAACAGTTCTGAACAGCTGATATAACCATTAAATAATCTAAAAACATAAATAAGGTCAGTATGTAATCTTCTGCTTTTAAGAGTGCTTAAATTTAGTATGTCCCTTATATTTTGGTAAGTATATTCTTCTCTTGTGTACCCTAATTGTGTTATTTGCCAAAATCAGTCTTATCTTAGCAGGCTCTAGTCCCGCACACTCGCCCTATTCTCATTTTAACGATTTTATTTTTGTTTATCAGTATAAAATCCACCTTTGATCCAGATAAAATGAATCACTAAAATGAAGGCGGAGTAAGTAGGCGGAGTTATTATATGTTCTTCTGTAAAGTGGCAAGAAACTAATAGAGTCTGGGCTGTTAAAGAGAAAAAAACGCTAATCCCATTTTTTTTATTACAGTATTTGCTACAAAAATGCATTTCTTATTTCAGAAGAAAAAAGAACGGGTGGGTGGGCGGGGCTAAGTTTACCTTTTTTTCACAGAGACTTTTATAAGCAAGCAATAGCCCCGCCCACCCACCCCCTGTTCATTCTAGTAACTAGTCGTAATACTGTTATGGTCACTGTTAATTCAGATCCAAAGATCGTAAATCTAGTTATTAATTTTCCATTGCGAAAATTTTTGTTTTCAAGAAAATTTAATGCCTTGACTCAACTATCGAAATTTTTTGAAATAATTTTAAAAACTCAATTCAGTTAAAAAAATATTTTAAGGTCACCATGAAGAGTTTAGAAATTTAGGAACAAAATTTCCAATTCTGTGGCTTAAAGCAACTAGGGTAATTTTTTCAAAATATGTTTGCAAACATAATTTCCAAAATTTGTTTTCAGTTCAAAAAAATACAATCACCATAAAAAAATTTGAATTTTCGGAAAAAAAAACAATTTTTCTGTTTTTTCACAATTTCCCTTATGGATTTGTATTTTTAAAATAAACCCACAAATTAATGTTTTCACTTTGTTTTAATTCCTAGATTCTACCGCTTGTCAAAATAGAATTCAATTCCCATTTTACGATAAATAAAATATGTCAGAGGAATAAAGAAAAGAGGTGGGCAGGGCTGAGTTTAGTTTTTTCTACAGAATCTTATAAACCAGCAGTAGCTCCCCCCACCCACCCTCTTCATTCCAGTAACTACTATAAATATTTTTCAGTCTGTTCTTAACAAGTAATAGAATCTCGCCAACCCATCCTTTTCTCATTTTAACGATTTTATTTATATTCAGCAGTATAAAATCCATTTTTCACTCGGATCCAATGAATCACTAAAATGAAGGCGGGCTAAATGGGTGGATTTAATTATATGTTCTTCTGTAAAGTGGCAAGAAACTAATAAAACCTGGGCTGTTAAAAAGAAAAGAAAGAACGATAATCCTATTTTTTTTTGTCATATTATTTGCTGTAAAAATGCATTTCTTATTTCAGAAGAAAAAAAGAACGGGTGGGTGGGCGGGGCTAAGTTTAACTTTTTCTTACAGAGTCTTTTATAAGCAAGCAGTAGCCCCGCCCGCCCACCCCCTCTTAATTCCAATGACTACTCTAAATATTGTTCAGTCTTATCTTGACAAGTGGTAGCCCCGCCCACCCGCCCCCTATCTTTTAAGAGGATGTCATTTGCCAAAATCAGTCTTATCTTAGCAAATACTTGCCCCACCCTTCCGCCCTATTCTCATTTTAACGAGTTCTTCTTTTTATTTTTTGAAGGGTGTTATTTGCCAAAATCAGTCCTATCTTAGTAGGCACTATAGCCCCGGACACTCGCCCTATTCTCATTTTAACGATTTCATTTTTGTTTATCAGTATACAATCCAACTTTCATCCAGATAAAATGAATCACTAAAATGAAGGCGGAGTAAGTGGGCGGAGTTATTATATGTTCTTCTGTAAAGTGGCAAAAAATTAATAGAGCCTGGGCTGTTCAAGAGAAAAAAAAACGCTAATCCCATTTTTTTCATTACAGTATTTGCTACAAAAATGCATTTCTTATTTCAGAGGAAAAAAGAACGAGTGGGTGCGCGGGGCTAAGTTTACCTCTTTCTCACAGAGACTTCTATAAGCAAATAATAGCCCCGCCCACCCACCCCCTCTTCATTCTAGTAACTACTGGTAATACTGTTAATTATTATCTTCAAATCCAGAGATCGTAAATCTAATTATTAATTTTTCACTGCGAAAATTTTTGTTTTCAAGAAAATTGAATGCCTTGACTCAACGCCTTTATTCAATTATCGAAATGTTTTGAAATAATTTTAAAAGCTCAATTCAGTTAAAAAAATATTTAAGATCACCATAAAAGAATTTAGAATATTGGGAACAAACTTTCCAATTCTCTGCCATAAAACAACTAGGGTATTTTTTTTCAAAATATGTTTGCAAACATAATTTCCAAAATTTGTTTTCAGTGCAAAAAAATACAATCACCATAAAAAAATTTTGAATTTTCGGAAAAAAACAACTTTTCTGTTTTTTTCCAATTTCCCTATATGATTTGTAATTTTAAATAAATCCACAAATTAATCTTTTGACATTGTTCTAATTCCTAGATTAAACCGCTTGTCAAAATACAATTCAATTCCCATTTTACAATAAATAAAATAAGTCAGAGGAATGAAGAAAAGAAGTGGGCGGGTCTGAGTTTAGTTTTTTTCTACAGAATCTTATAAACCACCAGTAGCTCCTCCCACCCACCCACCCCCCTCTTCATTTCAGTAACTACTATAAATATTGTTCAGTCTTACCTTGACAAGTAATAGCCGCGTCCACCCGCCCTTTACTTTTTTTTAGAGGGTGTTATTTGCCAAAATCAGTCTTATCTGGGCAGGTACTAGCCTTACCCACCCACCCTATTCGCACGAATTTATTTCTGTTCATCAGTATAAAATCCATCTTTCATTGAGATCTAATGAATCAGTAAAGTGAAGGCGGGCTAAGTGGGTGGATTTAATTATATGTTCTTCTGTAAAGTGGCAAGAAACTAATCGAACCTGGGCTGTTAAAAAGAAAAAAAAGAACGATAATCCTATTTATTTTGTCATATTATTTGCTGTAAAAATGCATTTCTTATTTCAGAAGAAGAAAGAACGGGTGGGTGGGCGGGGCTAAGTTTAACTTTTTCTTACAGAGTCTTTTATAAGCAGGCAGTAGCCCCACCCACCCACCCCCTCTTCATTCCAATGACTACTTTAAATATTGTTCAGTCTTTTCTTGGCAAGTGAGAGCCCCGGCCACCCGTCCCCTATCTTTTAAGAGGGTGTAATTTGCCAAAATCATTCTTATCTTAACAAATACTAGCCCCACCCCCTCGCCCTATTTTCATTTCAACGAGTTTATTTCTGTTTATCAGTATAAGATTCACCTTTCATTTAGACCACATACAATGAATCACTAAAACGAAGTGGGGGTAAGTGGGCGGAGTTAATTATATATATGTTCTTCTGTAAAGTGGCAAGATACTAATAAATCCTGGGCTGTTAAAAAGAGAAGTAAAAACGATAATCGCAATTTTTTTTTGTTATACCATTTGCTATAAGAACGCTTTTCTTATTTCAGAAGAAAAGAAGAACGGGTGGGTGGCCGGGGCTAAGTTTAACTTTTTAACGATTTTATTTTTGCCTATCAGTATAAAATCCACCTTTCATCCAGATAAAATGAATCACTAAAACGAAGGCGGAGTAAGTGGGCGGAGTTATTATATGTTCTTCTATAAAGTGGCAAGAAACTAAAAGAACCTGGGCTGTTAAAGCGAAAAAAAAGCGTTAATCCTATTTTTTTTATTACAATATTTGCTGTAAAAATACATTTATTTCAGAAGAAAAAAGGAACGGGTGGGTGGGCGGGGCTAAGTTTATCTTTTTCCTACAGAGTCTTTTATAAGCAAGCAGTTGCCCCGCCCACCCACCCCCTCTTCATTCCAACGACTACTCTAAATATTGTTCAGTGTTATCTTGGCAAGTGATAGCCCCGCCCACCCGCCCCCTATCTTTTAAGAGGGTATTATTTGCCAAAATCAGTCTTACCTTAGCAAATACTAGCCCCACCCTCCCGCCCTATTCTCATTTTAACGAGTTTATTTCTGTTCATCAGTATAAGATTCATCTTTCATTTAGACCAGATACAATGAATCACTAAAACGAAGGCGGGGTAAGTGGGCGGAGTTCATTATATATATGTTCTTTTGTAAAGTGGCAAGAAACTAATAAATCCTGGGCTGTTAAAAAGAGAAGTAAGAACGATAATCGTATTTTTTTTTGTTATACCATTTTGCTATAAGAATGCCTTTCATATTTCAGAAGAAAAAAAGAACGGGTGGGTGGGCAGGGCTAAGTTTAACTTTTTCTTACAGTCTTTTATAAGCACGTCCACCCACATCCTCTTCATTTCAGTGACTACTCTAAATTGATTGATTGATTGATTGATTGATTGATTGATCGATTGATATAAAATCCAACTTTCATCCAGATAATCACTAAAATGAAGGCGGAGTAAATGGGCGGAGTTATTCTATGTTCTTGTGTAAAGTAGCAAGAAACCAATAGAGCTTGGGTTGTTAAAGAGAAAAAAAAAACGCTAATCGTTTTTTTTTACTGCAGTATTTGCTATAAAAATGCATTTCTTATTTCAGAAGAAAAAATAACGGGTGGGTGGGCGGGGCTAAGTTTACCTATTTCTCACAGAGACTTCTATAAGCAAGCAACAGCCCCGCCCACCCACCCCCTCTTCATTCTAGTAACCATTCGTAATACTGTTAATTATATGTTAAGATCGTAAATCTAATTATTTATTTTTCACTACGAAAATTTTTGTTTTCATGAAAATGTAATGCCTTGACTCAACTATCGAAATTTTTTAAAATATTTTAAAAGCTTAATTCAGTTAAAAAAAATATAAAAGAATTTAGAATGTTAGGAACAAAATATCCAATTCTGTGGCTTAAAACAACTTGTGTATTTTTTTTATACATTTGCAAACATAATTTCCAAAATTTGTTTTCAGTTCAAAAAAAAACAATTTTAAAATCACCACAAAAAAATTTTGAATTTTCAGAAAAACACCAATTTTTCTGTTTTTTCTTAATATATATGGATCTGTAATTTTAAAATAAATCCACAAATTAATCTTTTGACTTTGTTTTAATACATAGATTCTATCGTTTGTCAAAATAGGATTCAATTACCATTGTACAATAAATAAAATAGGTCAGAGGAATGAAGAAAAGAGTTGGGCGGGGCTGAGTTTAGTTTTTTCAACAGAATCTTATAACCCAGCAGTGGCTCCGCCCACCCACCCTCCCTCTCTTCATTCCAGTAACTACTATAAATATTGTTCAGTCTTTTCTTGGCAAGTAAGAGACGCGCCCACCCGCCCTTTATTTTTTTAGATTTTGTTATTCGCTAAAATCAGTCTTATCTGGGCAGGTACTAGCCCCGCCCACCCACCCTATTCTTTCCATCTTTCAGTCAGATCCAATGAATCACTAAAATGAAGGCGGGCTAAGTGGTGGATTTAATTATATGTTCTTCTGTAAAGTGGCAAGAAACCAATAGAACCTGGGCTGTTGCAAAGAAAAGAAAGAAGGATAATCCTATATTTTTTTGTCATATTATTATTTGCTGTAAAAATGCATTTGTTATTTCAGAAGAAAAAAAGAACGGGTGGGTGGGCGGTGCTAAGTTTAACTTTTTCCTACAGAGTCTTTTAAGTGGGCGGAGTTAATTAAAAAAGAGGTAAAAACAATAATCGTTTCTTTTTGTTATATCATTTGCTATAAGAATGCCTTTCTTATTTCAGAAGAAAAGAAGAACGGGTGGGTGGGCGGGGCTAAATAATTTTGAAAGCTCAATTTCGAAAATTTAATATTTTAAATCAGCTGCTAAGAACAACTATCGTAATTTTTCCAAAATATTTTTTAAGGCGCATTTCCAAAAATGTTTTTTTCATTAAAAAATACAATTTCAAAATGGTCATAAAAGAATTCAGAATTCTCGGAGCTAAATTTCTAATGTTTTCTCACAATTTCCTAACCGAATCTGTAATTTTGAAATAAATCCGCAATTTGAAGAATATTTAAATGTAAGTCATAAATCTATTAATTTTTCATTCCAAAAATTTTGGTTTTCAAGAAAATTTAATATCTTGTTAATATTTTCGAAAGCACAATTTCCAATTTTTTTTCAGTTAAAAAATACAATTTTAAAATCCCCATGAAAGAATTTTGAATTTTCTGGAAAACTTTCCAATTTTTGAATGTTTCCTTTCAATTTCTCCAACGAATTTGCAATTTTAAAATAAATCCACAGATTTGAAGATTTAAATGTAAATCTAATTTTTATTTTCAAGAAAATTTTATATTTTGACTCAGTGACTTCAGACTACATATATTTTTTTCAAAATATTTTTCAAAACACGATTTCCAAAATCTATTTTCAGTAAAAAAAATACTCTCACAATTTCTCTAACGAATTTGTAACTTTGTATTCAAAAAATTCGTTAAGTAACTACAGAAAAGTCATGTTTCAAAAGTTTTCTTGTGTTTTCTAGAATTTTCAGCATTCTACGGGCCCGAAACTACCAAGGAAACTTTCCAATTGTAGCTAGAAATCTTATTTTGGTCGAATTTTATGAGCTCTGAAGTATATTTCGACTTTCTTTGTAGTCTTGTTGGTAGATTCAAAAATTCGTTAAAAAAACTTCTGAAATGTTACTTTTCAAGTTTTTTCTTGTATTTTCTAGCATTTCCGGCATCTTATGAGCTTGAAAATACCAAAGAAACTATCATACTTATTTTAGCTAGGAATCTTACTTTTGTCAAATTTTATGAGTTCTGTCAATAATTCACGTTAATCTTATAAACATCTACAAGATGTGGAGCAGTTGTGACATACGAGGGGGTGTTGATAAATAGTTTTGAACATCTTCCGGCTATTAACTTATCACCATCTTCTCGTATACGAATCCGCCACAAGCATGCATTTTCATCGCGGTTTATAGAGCATTCAAATTTATGCTCTTTTTCGCATAATTTCATAATTTCATAAATATAAAACTGACGAAAAACTGAGCCGGAACTTCCAAAGTTGAGACAAAAGAAAACATAATAAGAAGGAAACATTGGCTTATATTATAAAGTGCGGGATCGCGGTTGGTAGCGTTTATAGAGACACCGTTTCACTCTTTAGTTTTAAAAACAACATAAAAATTTAACATTACTATACATTAAACAGGAGCAGAATTTCGAACCACCATGTGTAACAGACATATCGACCCACTTTTGACTTTTGCTTGCAGCCAAACGCTGAAATACATGCCCAGTAAAAATGTCCAATCAAAGATTTATGATCCTCTTTCATAACTCGACTTTACATTTCATCAAAATTCCCCAATAAATAATTTATGCAGGCCAGCCTCCGTCCCATATTTATTAAACATGTGCCGTCGTAAAGTTGGCAACTTACGAACACAAGTAGGCAATTCCTTGGGAGTCCAGGTGCCGTCAGCCTGACACAATCGCTCGTTTTTCCCGACGAGTTCATATCCTTCGGCGCAGTGGTAAGTTATACGGCATCCGTATGTGTAACATTCGCCGGCGTGCCATCCGTGGGATATGTCGGTCGGAGCGCCGCAGGAATTCGCTGCGAATAACCCCCGTTATTGGGTATGTACAGGGTGTTTCGTTGGCACACCGCTTCCTGGTAACTTTGTGTCTTTGTGACGAAGAGTTACACGGAAGCGGTTTTGAATGAAACATCCTGTATGGGTTTAAATATAGCGATGGGCTTACGTTCGCAGGAAATGTCTGGGCCGTACCAGGAGGCTTGACCGTCGATAGCCAGACATTTGGCCCTGGGGAAACCGTTCGTCACGTAGCCGTTGTGGCAGTAGTACTGCAGAGTCGAGTCGAGGTCGAAGGTGGTTTGTTCCGGAAGGGCATTGTGTCGGGCGTGATCAATTGTCGGGGGTGACAGGCAGTAAACTGCGAATTATGAAATACAACATTTGGTGAGGAGTGACGGGAGATGCAGATAGACAAGGAAACGTCAAATTCTGTATAAAGCGATAGCTAGGGGCTCACATTTTTTTAATTTTTTTGTCATATTTTTTAGTTTGGTTTGTGTTAATTAATTAAAAATGGGTAACTCTATTTTTACAAGTACAAAAATATTAAATTCTGCCATTCAATACAGTCTGCATAAAAAATTTGTATAAATTATTTGGACAGAATTTCTTCGCCTCTGCAGCACGACCAATCCATAATAGCGCACTTTTGAATAAACGTTTATGTAATCATTTTCCTTTTGGTAAGGATAAACATTAAACATGTTAATAATAATATGTAGGAGTATAATGTAACAATAGCAAGCTTATACTGTCAGAACAATTTTGGAGTATAGATTCGGAGATTTTTTTTTTAATCTTAGACGTATTCGTATGAAAAATTGAGATTTTTGGAAAGTTGCTTAAGATCCTCAAAAAGTTTTCAGTTATATGGTAGATCTCGACGAGCTGATTTCAAAAACTTGGGTCATAAATTTCGTTTTTTTTTTTTTGAAAAAACTTCAGCAAGTGAAAAATAGCCATAAAAAAGTATAACTCTATTTTTACAAGTACTAAAATATTAAATTCTGCCATTCAATACAGTCTGCATAAAAAATTTGCATAAATTATTTGGACAGAATTTCTTCGCCTCTGCAGCACGACCAATCCATAATAGCGCACTTTTGAATAAACGTTTATGTAATCATTTTCCTTTTGGTAAGGATAAACATTAAACATGTTAATAATAATATGTAGGAGCATAATGTAACAATAGCAAGCTTATACTGTCAGAACAATTTTGGAGTATAGATTCGGAGATTTTTTTTTTAATCTTAGACGTATTCGTATGAAAAATTGAGATTTTTGAAAAGTTGCTTAAGATCCTCAAAAAGTTTTCAGTTATATGGTAGATCTCGACGAGCTGATTTCAAAAACTTGGGTCATAAATTTCGTTTTTTTTTTTTGAAAAATTGAAATTTTGGCGAAATTGCCCAAAAATCCACAAAAAATTACTAAAGATAAATTTCGATGAGCTGAATCCGAAAGCTAAATGTGTTGATGATCTCGAAACAAGATTGCAGGCGAATAACGAAAATTTCAGAACAATCGTTGCATTTTTATTAAGGTCTAATTTAGTGGAATCCCGGAAAATCTTGGTTAACCAAAAATTATGAAAAAAATTGTGTTTGTCCAGAAATCATACGTCTATATGACAAAATAATCCAAATTTTGGCGAAAACGAAACAGTAAAAACTTCTGTAGGAAAATCAATAGAAGAAATTCTTTTGGTAATTTTCCAGGAAAGGCCATAAATTTCATTTTTTTTTTATTTAAATCGAGCCTTTGGAGAAAAAACTCAAATATTTAGGAAAACATCATTAATTTTTTTCTTGAAAAACTGGTATCTTGAAGTTTCTTAAAAATCCACAAAAAATTCGAAGATATTTCAATGAGCTGAATTCAAAATCTCAATATGTTGATCTTCGAACATCGTAAATTCCGGAGCGATTGAGGCATTTTCGCTAAGGATTCATTTAGCACAATCCCAGAAATGCTGGCTGACCAAAAATTACGAAAAAAATAGGGTTTGTACAGGAATGAGATGTATATCAAGGAAAATAAAGTAAAGTAAAAAATAGGTTGCCTAAAAATCCACAAAAAAATTACTGAAGATAAAATTCAATCACTTGAATTCAAAAATACAAAGTGTTGATGGTCCCGGAACAATATTCCAAGCGAACATCAAAAATTCCGGAGTAATCGAAGCATTTTCATTAAATACTAATTAGGACAATTCCGGAAAAGCTGGTTGACCAAAAATTACGAAAAAAATGGGTTTGTGCAGGAATGAGATGTCTATCGGGGAAAATAATCCAAGCTCGATACGATGACTGTTTTTTTTTGTCAGACTTCATTTTGCCGACTTTGGAAAAATGATTGGAATTTTTGAAAAAATAAAACAGTGAAAGCTTCTGAAGGTCTAAATCAGCGGAAGAAATTCTTTTAGAAATTTTCGAAGATGCTCTGGAAAATATCATTAATTTAGTTTTTCTTTATTCTTTGAAAAATTGAAATCTTGATAAAGTTGCCTAAAAATCCACAAAAATTTCCTGAAGATAGAATTCAATGAACTGAATTCAAAAACTCAATGTGTTGTTGGTCCTGGAACAATGTTGTAACATCGAAAATTCCGGAGCGATCGAGGCATTTTCACTAAATTTTATTTTAACACAATTCCGGAAAAGCTGGTTGACCAAAAATTACGAAAAAAACTGGGTTTAGCAGGAATGAAGTGTCTATCAAGAAAAATAATCCAGGCTGGATATGATGTCTGGTTTTTGAACTATTCAGATTCAAAGTCGAATTTTTATAATACATCAAAATTTGTCTTGCTTCATTTTGGTGCTTTTGGAAAAATGGTAGGATTTTTTGAAAAAACAAAACCGTAAAAGCTTCTGGAGGTCGAAATGAGCGAAAGAAATTCGTTTGGAAATTTTCGAGAATGCTCCGGAAAATGTCATCAATTTCGGTTTTCGTTTTCCTTTGAAAAATTGAAATCTTGGCGAAGTTAAGTTTTTTTTTTCTCTCCAAAAAAAATTCCTGAAGATAAAATTCAATCAGCTAATTTCAAAAACTCAATGTCTTGATGGTTCTGGAACAAGATTGCAGGCGAACATCGAAAATTCCAAAACAATCGTTACATTTTTATTAAGCTCTAATTTTTGGCAATTCCGGAAAATATGGTTGCACAAGAACTATGAAAAAAATCGTGTTTATCCAGAAATCATACATCTATAGAGTAAAATAATCCAAACTGGATACCATGTCTGACATTCGAAAAATTCAGGTTCAAAATTAAATGTTGAAAATATCTCACAATATGTCACATTTTAATTTTGGCGATCTGAACAATGGTAGAATTTTTACAAAAATAAAAGGGGACATCAACAGAAGAAATTCTTTTAGTAATTTTCGATGATACTCCGGAAAATGTTGTTAATTTGTTTTTTTTTTTTTTTGAAAAATTAAGATTTTGGCGAAGTTGCCTACAAATCAACAAATAAATATTTAAGATATTTCAATGTGCTGAATCCAAAAACTCAATATGATGATGTTCCGAACAATATTTCAAGCAAACATCGAAAATTCCGGAGTGATCGAGCCATTTTCACTAAATTTAGAACAATTCCGGAAAAGCTAGTTGACCAAAAATTCCGAAAAAAACTAGATTTGTGCAGGAATGAGATGTTTATCAGGGAGAATAATCCAAGGTCGATACGATAACTGGTTTTCGAAATATTCAGGTTCAAATAAAAAAAAACAAGCTTCTGGAGGTCGAAATAAGCGGAAAAAATTGGTAATTTTCGAGGATGTTCGGGAAAATGTAATCAATTTAGTTTTTTTTTTAAATTGAAATCTTGACAAAGTTACCTAGAAATCCACAAAATATTCTTGAAGATAAATTTCAATGAGTTGAATCCAGAAAATCACATGATGATGATCCCGGAAACAATTTTGTAGACAAACATCGAAAATTCTGGAGCGATCCAGGCATTTTCACTGAAGATTAACTTAGAACAATTCCGGAAAACTTGCTTAACCAAAAATTACAAAAAAAATTGGGTTTGTGCAGAAATGAGATGTTTATCAGGGAAAATAATCTAAGCTCGCTACGTCCACTGGTTTTCGAAGTATTCAGGTTCAAATTCGAATTTTTAAAATATATCAAAAATTGTCGTATTTTATTTTGGCGATTCCGGAAAATTGATAGATATGTTTGAAAAACAAAACAGTAAAAGCTTCTGGAAATCGAAATCAGTGGAAGAAATTCTTTTGGAAATTTTCCAGAGTGCTCGTTTCTCCTTTTCTTTGGAAAATTGAAATCTTGACGAAGTTGCCAAAAAATACACAAAAAATTCCTGAAATCAAAAACTCAATGTGTTGATGGTCCTGGAACAATATTGCAAGCACACATCGAAAATTCAGCAAAAACTGGTTGACCAAACATTCTAAAGAAATTGGGTTTGTGCAGAAATAAGATGACTATTAGAAAAAAAATCCAAGTTCGACACGACAACTGGTTTTCAAAATATTCAGGTTCAAATTCCAGTTTTAAAAATAATCTCAAAATTTATCACATTTCGTTTTGGCATTTTCACTAAGGACTAATTTAACACAATTGCGGAAAAGATGCTTGACCAAAATTTACGAAAAAATAATGGGTGCAAGAATGAGATGTCCATCAGGGAAAATATTCCAAGCTGAATAGGATGACTGCTTTTCGAAATATTCAGTTTCAAAGTCGAATTTTTAAAATATCTCAAAATTTGTCGTATTTCATTTTGACGAATCTGGCAAAATGGTAGAAAGTTTTGCAGAAAGTAGTTAAAACTTCCGGATGTCGAAATCAACAAAAGAAATTCTTTTGATAATTTTCTAGAATGGTCGGAAAAAGCTCATATATTTCGTCATTTTTTTTTTAACTTGAGATTTTGTCGAAGTTGCCTAAAAATCCACAAAAAATTCTTGAAGACAGATTTCGGTGAGCTGAATTAAAAATATGACATGTTGATGGCCCCGGAGCAATAATGCAGATACTGGTCGTGAACCAAGATTTTCGAAAAATTTTATCGAGAATTGCATTTTGATATTTTTGATCCAATAAGAACACTGAATTTTGATCACGTGTTACTGAATTATTTGATAATTTTGAGGTTCTGATTGCTTTTTGACATCGATAACACGCTTGTAGCTCAAATTAATAAGTGGAAATTTTTTGACAACTTCAAAAAATTATCAGCGCTGTCAAAGTTGACATTCAAATTTCAAAAATTAAATTGCAAGTGTTTTAGACAACATTTATTACAATTTTATTAAAAATTTACATTATTACAACTCGTCACTTGAAATGTGCAGTTATTGTAGACAATTTTGTTA